GAGATTCACAGAAACGATCACTATTTTCGAAACAGCCAGGTCTTTGATTTTAGATCGTTCGTGTCTAAGTTATACTTCTGTGCTGCTTTCATGATATTTTAGTAATTAGAATCTAGGTGATGTAAAGTTAGTTGGTAAATTAACCTTGTAGGTAACGTTTATTTCCTTATTTGATGTTGACATTGTAAATGTGTGTTTAGTTCTTTGTACTGTGTTTGAATAATACTTGTCTGTTTGTGACTTTTGAATCGATTTCACATTGTCTGACATTGGTAGATCAGCAACGTTTGGAGTGCTGAGAAAACGTGGAGGTGATTGGGATGATTCAAACAAACTTGGGGTCAGGTGTGAGTACACCACTACCTACACTGAGTGTCACTATCCCACCAATAGAATGAATTAACGTGATAGCCATTAATTTCTAGCGATTAAATAATATGATATTGAATTATTCAGGCTTTCAAATACGAGTTAATACGTGGGATGTTTAGATCCCCTCCATATGAGTAAATGTAGGATAATATTAGCCCTTGAACACCAAAAGAGTTCGATGGCAGAGTCAATTCGCCAATCAACTACATGTCTGTACACTGTTGTAAGCAATACCGTTTGATTACCTGATTGAACGTTAGTTGATTGATTAGTTTAAACTTACGCTTCATTGGGGGAAGGCTGAGAGACTGGGCATATGAACTGAAGCCCCAACAGGCTGAAATTGTAAAGTTTCATTATCATTATTCTTACATTAGTGGTGTGAAGATATGTTTTTCTAGATTCTTTAAATGAATCAGCTGGTAGCCAAGATAAATATTTGAAAAAGGCGGTTATACTTATATCTAGCAAATGGTAAATACTACACTATTAAACCCAGAAAAAATTATCACGGTAGCATGCTACTAAAAAATTTTTTTACTGAATATATTTCATCAAATTCTTCCCTTCCAGTTTGTTTCGATCTTCTGAGCATATCTTTTTGAACTCTCGTACATTCTTAAAATGGCTTCAAACCTGGCGTTTTTCAAACTAAGAAAAAAATAGAACTTATAAATGCACGTAAATACAGATTACCATTCCTAGGATACTTATATCAAAGTGCAGATTTTTGTACGGCCTGAATGAACTATCACAGCCAAAATTACGCTCGGTTTTTCTATTCATTCACATCAGTTGGAGAACCATTGAAAACCTGCAAGCACTGGATAGCTGCTTCTTCCTAGCTGTCCAAACTATACTATTGTTTAGTGCTGGTTAATGACATGCCTCTAAATGGATAGCACGAAGTTCTAATGAGAAGCCGTGACCTGTGGATCAACCAGTCTAAAGGGAAGCGGATGCTATCTGAAGACCTTCAGTGATAATCGTCGCTATATCTCTAATTGATAGAAGTAGGGAACTGTGAACTATTTAACTCTGACCCAGTGGCTGAATGGTTAACTCGTTCGTCCTGAAGATCCTGGGTTCCATCCCTAGTCCAGTCGTGGGTGCGTACTGCTGAGGAGTCCCATACTAGAAGGGAACAGCTATCCAGTGCTCCCAGGTTTTCAATGGTTCTCCAAATGATGTCAGTCCACTGGGAATACTAACTCAGAATTAAAATCCCCATTCACCTCAAGATACATTATTATTGTCATATACCTGGTTGTGGCTATCAGATGAATCCAGGACGCGACTTTCAATAAACAGTAATGATTACGATTATTATTACCATTGAAAAAAGGTGAGCAATCATGGATACTTTTAAATTGTTTGCAACTGCTTGGTAAGCTGGAACAACTTCTGAAAAATGTATTCAGCATTTGACTTTTTTTATTTGTTGCAAAAATGTCTGGACAGAATTTCATTTTATGTTTCAACTTTATTGAATAACAATTCCATTGATCCCTTATAGAAATGGCAAAATTGAAATCATATTTTGTTTTAAATCGAATGAACTAGTTGTTTGAACACAGACAAATTAGATCAGTTTTACCATAACAGTGAACAGTAGATAATGATGAGATGATGGATGTAAAATAATTTTTGAAGGATTTCAATTTCGAAAAATTATTATTTTATGGACAAAATGCTCGTAATAATTGATGGACTTAATTCTCTGTTCAATGTTTAAAGTTAGTTGACAAAAAGGAGTGGAGGTAAAGGGGATAAATACAGTACACATTATTCAGAACAGCTTAGAAACTTCACTAATTTGACGTGTAAATCTTCACTTTGTTACTTGTTTGACAGTTGACTAAGAAGTTAGTCATAATCTAAGCTTCACTCTTGATTTTTCCGATCTATTTCTTCAAACTATGATAAGCATAAGTTTCCATAGATGCCTTGTTTGATAATTTGTTGGAATCTTAAACTGATAATCGTTTTGTAATATCATAAAATAATGGATCTAAAGAGTTGCATTCAAAATACAACTTCACATTTCAGCCGATCATGTATGCGGAAATCTTTCCAAATACACATACACACATGACTACTGAAGTATGGCGAGGACAACATTTTTAGCTGATTTATTGATGCATGTAATTTCCCGCTGAGTTTTCTATTGAACTGAATTAATCGGTCTCTGTCAGCATATAGACTATTTGAACGAAGTAATCACATTTCACTTGAAGTTATTCGCTTGTTTTTAGTTGGCCTTGGAATCCAGAATATTTGTCTCGTCCCATTCAAGACTCATCACAACTGTATATATAAATGCATCCCAGTGAGTGATGTTGTTTCTGCTTTGATCCAGTATAACAACCGATGAAAAATCATAAGTATCCATAAATGACGACTGATAACTAGTGCAGAAGACATGACTGTGATTCAGAAACCTAGTAGGTGCCTGAGGTATTGGGTAGTAGGTTCAACTCTCAATGGGAACACTAAGAGCCAGCTGATGAGTTCATAATGAGCCGAGTCACACGTCTTAGATTCCACTGCTACACACCAACAACCAAGTTACTACTTCATCTAGTTTTTACAATGTTAGTTGGAAGTCTCTATTAGTACTACTAAACAACACTTCCAATATGATAATCTTATTCACCACCAGACAGAGTAAATATTAATGTAGTTTGAAGTTTATGGGAATCCTATTTATTTCATAGTAGTAATATTCGTCACGGACTGACATAATCAGAGAACCGTTGTATACCTTTGACCATTGGACAGCAACTTCGTCCTAGCGTGGGGCCTCTAAGTAGTACACTGAAAGTCATGAGTTAGATCCTTGGCAAGAGTATGTATGTGTACAGCTAAAAAGTCCCATACTAGGGTGAAGCGGCTGTCCAGTACTCACAGACGTTCAACGGTTCTCCAACTGATATCAACCCGTGATGAATACTACCTTAAAAAGTAAACAATATTGATTACCCAGGCAGTTGATTCATCTGTTTCACTCGAAAGAATATAACAGAACTGATTGTATTATATGGGAAGAGGAAAACGGTTTTTACTAAAAAGTGACCACAGATTTTCTCGTGGAAAATACTGATTTCCCAACCAATCTCAATTGTACAGAAATCGTACCGAAAAACTGTCAGTTTAATAGACATTTACCTCTGAATATACATTTACATCGAAGAGGACTCTACTGAACTCCTATAGTGTGTATGTGTGAGGGATAGAGAGAGGATTTAGTATAGGAATTAAAAGAAATTGTACAACAGTTCATCTATGTCATGAATTAACTTAGGCTGAGAAATTCGCATCAGCTAATTATTTATGGTCAACAGTTATATGCGTTTCTTGCCTAAAATCTAGATTAGTTCAATACGATCTGGACAACAGGAGAAAATATTAGTGGTTCAGAGTGTTCGAAATTGTAACGGAAAAATGGTTCAACCCATTACAGTTACCAGTGAGTGAATTTCCCATTGAAATCAGCTACCACCATCCCCCCACACACGTGCAAAACCGTGGTAAAATGTATTTTATATATATATATATATATATATATATATATATATATATATAAAACAGTAGAAGTGAACAAACGATGTGACATTATGCTATCTATGGGTTCACTTATGACAGCTGACGACAATAACAGCAGTTCTTGTCACCCAGCCTAGTATCCAAATTGTAAATCTGATCAGTCAGTATGTAGTAATTGACAGGGACGTCGGTTATCCATCCGATGACTGTATTATTCCTGACATTCAACTAGTGAGCAGTAACTAACTATGCCAGTAACCGCTTAAACCTATTAAGAAAAACCGTCCTTAATTCAGTGAATACAACGCATAAAGATCCTGATATGTAGTCTCCTGTTCAGACGAATTTATATAAAAGTGATTACTGAAAATTGATTTTATTACGTCACAGTATCGCTAAAATAGCATTCATTGCTACGGAAGGTAAGTGATAAGAGGAGCATTGTAAAAGCAACAGACAGATAAAGAGAGAAAGGGGGAGAGGAAGGGACGAGGAGGTAGGTAAGAGGATAAATAAAGCGACGAAAAGAAAAACCAGTCAATAAATAATGAGTATGAAAATCACTGTTTATCAGAATTGGCTTTAAAAAAAGTGAACTTGCCTTAATTGTTGGCTCCCAAGCTAAATTTCATTTTCTTTTATCTATCACATTCAAAAATGAAGAAAAAGATGGAGATATTAGATACTAAAAGTCATTGGCAGGAAGCTCAATCCAGCCCGGATTTTACACTTCTTGATGCTCATTAGTAAGATGTCTACAACTATGAGGAAACTGGTGTTACTCCGGTGATTGGAAAACTGCATCACTCAGACACGTAGCCAATTACCTACTTAGGTTCAGGTCATGAATTACCCCGTGTACAACTGAATTATTTACACGATTCGGTCACAATGCAGTCTCCTTAAACTTTGGGCTACCTAATTTTACCACGGAATATACTGCATTAAATCTCTTTCGTCTAAATCATTCAATTATCTTGTAATCTTAACGTATACCCTGACGCATTTCTTCAAATCATTTCAACTTATCACTCCACAAGTTGAAAGACAAATTAATAAAAAGTACCATGGGTAGATGCCAGGTGGCTTTCAAGCGTATGGTCATAGATCAGATGACTATTCTGGAAATACTTGGCACAAAATTCATGTCTTTATCGAAGAAAGCTGATTTCTTTCAGTCATAGGTTTGAACTATGCTTCACCCACTAAAGTATATACAGACAGGCGCTATGTCTAGCCCGCATGCAATAGGTATAGGTCATTCATTTCGTAATGCATGTACATGGTCCTGAAGTTACGTTGTCTACTTTAACAGGTTCTGCACACGGCTAAAGAAAGATAAAGATATTCAAATTTTAGACTTCACGCATAAATTGGTTTCAAACGTCTTACATTCTGTCCAATTTCTAGTAGATTTGTTGTCAACCCAAGACACTTAGTTAAACAGTATACTACTTTTACGTTTACGCGCGCAAAATAAATCCTATCCCCTCCGTTGGTAAGCTTTAACAACCATGACCGAATGAGAAATGAACAAACTCATATATGTACAGATGTCTGCTTGGTGGCTAGCAGAAAAATCCAGCTTCACGCGCGTTTCGACCAACCTCGGATTCGTCAGCTACATGTACTTGTACTCCAGTGAGTAGTTTTATTCCCAGTAACCATCGCTTCAAACTCCAAAGCATTATCCACTGGATAACTGAGATACAATAGCCACCAACATTGTAGCGGGTACTATTTACTGTTTATTAGTACTTAAAATTTCCAGTTGCTAAAACTACTAAGCCATCATCATTTCAAGGCATCCGCATAGTAGCCCATCTACTAACAGAGGTCGTTCAATTCGACACAGTATATCAAGGAGAAACTATAAGTATCAATAAACAATATAAACAAAATGTTTAAAACGCGCGACAGACATCATAATGTTAGTGGAATCATCCACTCCGGTAACTGAATCACAGTGAACCTATGTAAAAAGAAGTCCAATATACTACAGTATACACAACAATGATATTCTTTTGGGCCAATGGATGAAAAAATGAAAACAATAATCAATCTATCTGTTTTTGAAACATAAATCCTATTTATTCAGAATCCTACAAAAAAACAGAACAAAAAACAAGTGAACAAATCAAGGACCAAAAGTGAATGAGAAAAGAGAGCAAACTGGTGATGATGATGATAATTGCTCGGTGCAGAAAAGAGAGCAATTCTCCCTTTTTGTGGTTAATTCTACCATTATCATTTTAGTTGTTGATACAGTTGTCGATGTAACCCGTGAATAAAATCACATGATTTAATTAGGTAGGCAGCAGCAGCGGCGGTAGCAGGGCAATAAGACAGATGACCATCCAAAATTCACTGCGCGTTTAACTAACCAGTCGATAACCCTGATGATAGCTACTCGCGTGCCCACACACACACTCATATATAAACAGACAGAGATGTTTGCCTTCAGTTTGCTTCTCCACCATCATCCTGTGTAGAAACAGCACAGCGTTATCATATAGTAGGTGTTTAATTATCACAATGAATATCACCCACTCACTGCTACTCTAAGTGAACCAATACTATCAGTCCGATGTCAATGGTCGAGATAGTGATGTGGCGAATGATGTAACTAGTGGAAGGAAAAAAAAGCCAGAAAATGTTTATCTAATTGTAAGTAAACTACAAACATCTATTTGATAGGGGATCTGAAAGAGAAGAGAAAGAAGAAAACACAAGTGAAACTTCGTTTCCAAGTCGCCATCTGGTAAAGGGAAAATAAACAACAAAAAACAAACAGTACGCATGAAATGATATTATTAAGACGGAGAAAGAAAAAAGGAAGAGAAGTCGAATTTCGAGTCGTACACACACACACACACAAACACAGAGTACGAGCATCATCTCCAGGTGATGATCATGATGGAATTCCTAATATATTAAAAATCAATCACTACTAACCTAGTTTATTATTATTCAACAATAGTAAAAGAAAGCTGTAATTACGATGAGATGTTATATGATAGTTTGGAAGAAAAGTATTATTGTGGTTATTATATACGAACAAAAAGGTGAAGAAGGAGAAAACGTGAACAACAGCAATAACAAAGTCATCTCTGCTGCTTTGACTGATGGATGAATATGATTATCTATCTATCTAGAATTGTTTTTAATCGAAGAAATAAACATACAATTGGGTGGATTCAAAGTGATATCACATTGCTAACAATGATTATTGCTTCTGTCAGCCAGTTACAGCAGTGGCATTGGTGATGGTGTTGTGTACACTCTGGACTCATTCAAATGCACAATCCCTTCATAGTACGTACTAGAAAAAAGGAGAACTAAACTGGTTGGTCGGTACAAAAGAAGACACGGTGGATACCACCTGTATGTAGATACGCTGTGGGACAATGCTCAAACATCACCTCACACACATGCAAACACCAACCAACCATCATAAAATGTCTGCAACTATCCTATCTATCTCAATCTCACAATCAAAATCAAACATTCTACCAAGATGGAGAAATAAGCAAGATGTGAGTTAATTGCATAATTTGGCGATTCATTGATATACTGCATCACATCAGATATACTCGGAAAGAAAAAAGAGAGAAATAGTAAAAAGCAAAGTTGTGAAGAGAAGTGACCAAACAATCTTTAGTAAATAAACAATAGTGATGATGATAATCATGGTGTTTTAATAACATATCATAATAATTAAAATAGTAAATCTTCTACTTAACAAGACGTGATGATGGGCGGTTAAAACAAAACCCCCCAAAACAAACAAACAAGTCAATATATTAAATGTACAATGAAGCGAAGGGGATTAAAACAACCAATTTTAAATAATAACACACACATACACACAGATTGATCGATAAAAAGAGAAAGCGTACTAAACGCCTGAAGAAAGTATAAAACACAACAGAACAAAATAAAATAAAAGGAAAAAAAGAGAGATCTTATTACTATTATTATAATTATTATTACTAGTACAAATATGACTGCTACATTTATTACCATTACTATTATCAGTGGTGGTGGTGATAATGACGGGAGTAATAGATAGTAAAAGACAATTTAAATTACTTATAATATTGTAAGGCGCATTACTATCCCATCTATTTACCTATCAATCGATTTATCAATAATCAATAAACAATGAATCAAGAGAGTACATACTATTCGCTACTAATGTCGGTATACAGATAAATTTATAGCACGATCAAATCCCGAGAGAGAGAGAGAGGGAAAACGGGAATAGTGGTGGTGCGGGGAGGGAAAGGGAGAAATCTTGACTTTTACACTGGATTGAGGAGAGATAGAGATTCTGATTTCAATAAGCAATATAAGACATAAAATACACTTACATAGCAATCAGTTTAAGCGGACGGTGAGTACAACACACGCAGATACAAGTAAACAGCATTAGGTGTGTGTGAAGAAGGTCAATGCAATCTACCAGATATGCAAATCTAAATTAGAGTAGCAGAGCTTCTGAGAAAGAAATTCTTCTTTTGGAAAGAGGAGAATAAAGAGGAGAGACAAATGTAAAGGATGTTAAAAACATGAATATGGAATCAGTATCAATCCGTTGAAACTACAGGTGCGCACGCACACATACACACAATGACAACACACAATATAGAATGTTTTGTCCACTACTAGAACTACTAATTAATAATATGTTTCTTTTTCAAGCCATGATCCAGGAGGTAACCGCCGGAGTAGGAACTTTCTCACTTCATCATAAATAAATATGAGAAGACTGAATGGCAAGCCTGGAAGCCACCAAGTGAATCTGTAAGGCAAAAAAGATGTAAATAACAATAATCATCAGTTATATAATCACTTATAGTAAAGTAGCTTGACACACTCATACCGTAATCAAAATACAAATACTTCCACACTAACACTATCGTAAACACTCTAGTCAGTTGACATTCGGCTTCCAAGTAACAACTTCTGGCAATCGACTTTTGTTACTAGACAGAAAAAAGAACTGCGAAACGATAAGATAACTAAGACTACTGTGTAATGCCGCTCATAATAACCCGTCGTTGAGTGGACCAAATCGATCGACGTGTGTCTATTAACATATAGACTCCTGCGCGGATGCCTCGACACTGTCTTTGTTTAAATTGCATATTAATGATAGGTAGTGGCTACCAGTGGAATCCAGCTTCATCCTATTCCGGAATCGTAAATTGGATGCACCTGCCTCCCAGTGAAAACTGTAATTTCTAGTTGTTATACTGGGTAGGGTAGATCGATCTTTTTCTGCACATGAACTTACATTAACATTAACGTGATGACCTGCTTGGTGGTAGACAACAGAGGAACCTAGAGAGCACATTCCATCCCATTTAGAACTCATCAGATGGAGTTTGAAGAGATGATTTCCGGTTTCGAGTCTCAATGGGAGCACAATCACTCACTGAAATGCTAGTAGATTCAACTGAAGAGTTCCAAAATGGAAAGAAACGCGTATCCTGGATTCCATCGCTACGCTACCACAAAGGAAATTATAAGATAGTGAATATTCACAAAATCCGGAGATAGTCAGTCGTACAGGATCCCACATACGCCAACAGAGATCAATCACTTGTATTTAGTACAAAAACAGTGAATTACACATATCAAGCCAATAAACGTAGTTTAGTTAAACCTTGTCATATGGAACGGGTTTGTATATGGTCAGTCAACCCGGAATAACCTAGTGACATTCAACTTCCTTTTCTTCTCGTACTTTATATTTCCTTTGACTGCATTCACTTATCTTCATCCTTCGCCTCACTACCTTTTTACTAGATGTGCTGATATGAGGTGTGGCAACTCGGACCGTAAGGCAGTAATGCCTGGTCCTATGTTGATAATGATGATGATGAGTGACATTGAACTACTTCATCCCACTATATTTCCAACCTTCGAATACGAATTAGAGTATTAAGAAGGTGAATTTCGCTTAGTGTATGTGAAAACTATAGCAAAGGTTTTTAGCGGTAAAAATGCCTTTATTGACTCTCTTGAGTAGTAGTAGTGTTAGTAAGAAGTGAATAGGATTGATTACTATTGTCAGAGAACATATGATTGTTCGCAGTAAACCACTACGTCCTGTTGAGTAAGTTCAAGTGCCGGCTTTAACGACACGACAAACGTGGTTAGCTTAGAATAACCTTGAATAAAGGAATATAGTTGGTATCTGAAGCTCTAACATGCATGTTTGTGTGACCTAAGTCATGGAAACAAAACACCAAAGTCCTAAAAAGTTATACATTTCAAAACAGCCTATGGATAACTTTTTAAACGCACATACACATACCTCATAGGCATCATACGTAGACCTTTATCCAAACCAGGACAATAGGATAAGAATATGGCCAGGGTAGTTTCAAAGAAAAGACCAAAGGTTAGGTGATGATTCCACATGCCTTGTTGGAAAATTGAATTACGTCGTGTCTTACATATCATTAAATCGGTCCATTGAACAATGACAATCGATGCAAAAAACGCTGTATGACATGTGTATTCTAAGCGTTTACGTTGATTAAACGTCTGTGAGAAGAAAGCCGATAAAAATATAAATTAACTGGACTGGAAAGAAAAAAGTGTTAACAAAGGAAAGGTCAATTTAATTATACAACAGGCTGGTGATACTTCTGTGGCAAACGAGTTTCTCCTTATTCAAAGTTCTTTCGTCTTTGTTCAGAAAGCCTATTCAATCTCATATAGAAGTTAACAACTTGATATAGAGACATTTATGGAAAAAGAAGGATACAATGTAATAATAAGAAAGCGGAGGGCAGTCGTATAGATATACAGACAGACGAATGCATGCCACACTATTGTGATGCAACAAATTGGAGGCGACCCAACTGAAATTGTCGAGACGCAACAAATCAATCGTTGGAGAGTCTTCATGGCTTGACTAAAAAATACACCATAGTAGTCTGAATGAATTAATTCATCATCTTCGCATTCCCTGATATTTTCGTCAGTCTTTGTTTTCCCCCCCCCTCCCTCTCTCAATATACTTTTCTCGTCTACTTACGTATCACTCTTTTTTTGTCCAGTTTTCGATTGTATGGTCTTGTGAAGTGTGACAGGCAGGAAAAATCAACATAGAAACTGATATTACTGTGTAGTGGTTCTAGTTGTCAAAAGTGGTAGAAATCCATCGATAGAGAGCAAAGAAGAAAGACAGAATACTGGAATCCACAACAACAATTGAGTTGAATATAATGTGTAGATGCATCTGCGCCACTGACATCGATTCTGAGCCATGTCACCTAGAGTCTCCAACCACTGGTTTCTATTCGCATGCTTACCACAATCGGTAAGTCTAAATCTCCCTGCATAACTCGGATCAATAGTCAGCAACATCAAGGACTGATGCTGTTTCCTCGTTTCGCCACCACTAACCTTCTTACAGCACGAACCTACTTCAACCAACATTGTATGACGAGGCAAACAGCGACTAGGCTGATGCAACATATGAGATGATGGAGAATATTTGTAGCTCAGGTGGATGGTCTTGGTTGTATTGTGTTCTCTGAGCTAAGTTGTTTAATCGTGAAGCTTTCATCGCCTTGCTAGACGACATCATCAGCACTAACTTCTGTATGAAGTGAGCTGTCAATATCTCTCCGTGGGCGATTTAGTAGCTTGCTCTGACGATGTGGTCTGTGATTGGTTGTTTCCTTCGACTGTTGTGTCATTGATTGTATAGACTTTCCTATTGTCTGTTCTTCTGCTTCACCTCTGACCTTTCTGTCGTTTTTCATTTTTCTCATTGGTTGGTAGATTGGGTCTACGTCTATACATCTATTGATTGCTGACTGACCTGAATGCCAAGCTTCTAGAAATTCTCTGACATTCTTTGTGTTTCCTCTCTCCGTCCAAAATTTCTACATTATCGAAATTGAATTCATGTCCGTAATTATCCACGTGCATTGAAATGAGTGACAAAATTTCGTGGTGTTTAATAGCTAATTGGTGCTCATGTAGACGAAGGCGAAGAGGGTGGCCACTTTGTCCAATGTAGTGTTGACTACAGTGATTGCAGTTGATTTTGTAAATGGTATTCGGTTTGTCTTCTTTGCTTGTTGCATCCTTTGGTCTGCATAGTTAGAGGTTGGAGGGAATTTGTTGGTTTATGAGCCACACCAATTCCAAGTGGTCTCAGTAATCTTGTCGTGATTTCTGTTGTATTCTTTATGTATGGTAGGATGATGCATTTATTGATTTCTGTCGATAACCTTGTAGTTGATGATGTACGGGATAGGTATCTTCTGATAAAGTTTCTTGGGTAGCCGTTGCTCTTTAGGATAGATATCAAGTACTTTTCTTCGTTTCTCCGTGAAGTTGTTGTACTGCAGTGTATTCTCGCTCTTCTGAATAGAGTCTGCATGCAACTGATTTTGTGTGTGTGTTGGGTTGTTGCTATTGTAGTTGAGGATTTGGTCAGTGTGTGTTGGCTTCCCGTACACTTGGGTTTCCAGCTTTCTGGTATTTGTCCTACTGACTAAAACATCCAGGAATGGTAGTTGGTTGTTTGACTCTTTCTCCATTGTGAATTTGATGTCATTGAAAACGTTGTTGACAACATACTTCCAGTTCAACGACAAGATATACAAACAGATGAAAGGAACTCCAATGGGATCACCGATATCCGGATTAATAGCAGAAGCAGTGATGCAGAGACTGGAAGCCATTATTGTACCTGTGATCAAACCGAAAATTTGGATTCGTTATGTAGACGACACTTTTGTCATCATTAAAAAATGATACAGAAAACACCCACAGTTTGATCAACAACGTGGATAGAATAGGAGTGATATCAAAGCAGATAAAGTTTTGTAAGAGAATAAACAAAGATAAGTGTGAATATCCCAGTTTTAGAAGCTTTCAGGAAGCGAAGATATCTGCGCCATCGTGACCAATTTTCAACCATGTCACCATGAGTCCTCAAACCACTGATTCCTTTCATCCCTGTGACCACAGCTAGGCAGTCTGCACCTTCCCACATGGCTCACACCAACAGTCAGGGACTTCATCGACTGGTGTCAGGTCTTGGTCTGGACATCTTGAAGCCTCTTCCAACCTAACACAACATCCTTCAACGTTACACAGAGGTGGATCAGCATGCGCAGTACATGTTCAAGTCATCTAAGTCAATTAAGTTTCATAACCCCGTCAATCGAATTGCCTGTCTTGCTTAGTTCCTTTCGCCTGACCTCAACATTCCTCACATGGTGATTCCTTCCACCCAACGCGAGAAATGCTGTGAAAAAACCTATGATCGAAACCTTTTAACCACTTCACATCTTCTATTTTTGATAGCCATGTCTCACAGTCGTAAAACAGCACAGAAGGAACTGCAGTGCAGTATACTCGTACTTTGATAGATGAGTGATGCTGCATTCAACAAGTCGTCAATAGAATCAATCAAATGTTTAAAACATTCTCCTGTTAGACGGTCTCTGTTCCTCCTTGTAAAACCTGACTGATTTATACTTGGAGATACCTTTAGACGGCAAACGCAAAGTACGGTTAAGATACCCTACTCTACGGCAGCATTTACATCTATAAACATAAAGTGAGGCGACTAAAAGCTATAACTTATCCTTTACGCACAAACGAAGCACTGGGCGGGTGGAGGAAGTTAGTCTCAGTTTGACTGCATTTAAAGCCTTTCTCGTTAATCATAACGGGTAATATCTTAATACTTCTTGCTAACGAATCTCAGCTGAATTGTATGTACACTTAAAAAGTTATGACAATGAGAGAGAGAGAGAAAGAAAGAAAGAAAGAAAAGCATTATTAAACTAACAAACTTTTCCCTGACCTATAATAATCATTTCTGTTATCATTGTCAATAAACAACGGTCAGCAATATGTAAGCCGGTGAAAGCATCTCAATATCTTATACAAATAAATAAGGAGAATAAGTACATCAATCAGTCTAAACAATTTAACCTTCAAAGTATTATTCATCATAGACTGACACATTCAGTTGGAGAACTATTGAATAGCTCTCCTAGTATGAGAATCATGCATAGTAAGCACTCACGACCTCATTAGGGGTTGACTGAGGACCGTCAGATCTTGTAGCGAACATCCTATTACTCAACCATCCATTGCATTCCGATCCACTGGCTGAATGGTAACGTGATTGTCACGAAACCTGACAGTCTGGAGTTAATCCCTGGCGAGATCGAGAGGGCTCACTACGAACGAGTCCTATACTAAAATGGGATAGCTGTCCTATGCTCTCAGGTTTTCAGTGGTTCTCTAACTGATGTCAGTCAATAAGGAATACTACTTTAAAATTAATCAATCCCCATAAACTTTCAGATTGAAGAAACAATTAGAATGTCCAATTTTTTTCGGGAGAGATCATTTTAAAACGCATCTGAAGAATACAGATGAAATTCTAATACACTGAACAAAACAGTGACTACCTTCAAATAATTTAGTGATAGGTAGGAAATAGTTATTGGTATCTGAACTATCAACTGTACCTGAAAAGTAGGCCGGTTAGTGCCCAGTTAAATATACTTAAGGACAAGTGAATTCAACTTCCTTTCTAAGGTACTTCCACTAGGTGATTTCTTGACATACATGGAAGATGGAGAAACTCAGAAACCATGTACTCGTTTGTCTAGTAGGCCATGAGCCCAACATATTATATAAAGGCTTCCCAAGACGTTAGTGAGTGCAGCTGGTCTCGAGCCATTAGCCTACTGGCTTAGAGGCAAGTTCCTAGGCGAATGAGCTACAGCTCTATACACAAAAATCTAGTCATCAAAAGTAACTATAAAACTTTGTTTCCTGTTACAAAATAACAGCTTACCCATTCTTGTCCATAGGAATCAGCTAAATCATTGATGGCTTTCGAATCCCATTCTCGTCTAATACCAAGTAAACGTGATGGCCAAAATCCATTCTCAGCCATGATAACAAAGTAGACAAAGAAACCACCAGAAGCTTGAATCATACCGATTTGACCATAAGCCATTGAAATTAAACGTTCGTTAACAAGTTTATCATGTAATGGATCACGAGGCATACGTTTCATGATATCAGCCTCAGCTTCTTCATAAGCTAGTGAGATAGCTGGGATCTAAGAGAAAAGCAAAAAGCATGTAGAAATACAGTCTATATACTGGATGAATTGAAGCAAGAAAATACTATCGCAGGAACAGTATTTAGTCGGCAAGGAGGTTCATGTAGAACTGATCACAGAAAAACAAAGTAGAATGGTCAACTGACGAACTTAAATAACTGCATCCCTATGAGTCGTAAGCGAAATCTGATCATTTCTCTTGCCACTCGTATTAGACGAATTTAAAGTCCCGATATATTAGAAGAAGAAATCTTTATTCGAAAGAACATCCTGATTGAAAACGGATTCCCACCATGCTTCATAGATAAAATCATCAAGCCTAAACCTCGCAAAGAGAACCTTACCACCGTGCCAAAAAAGACGCTCTATAGGGATCTAAGTTTCTAAGGTGATTCTGCGGCTGAGACTCCAAAAAGGAGGATATCAAACGCTCTAAGGAGAATATTCTTTTTATCAATGCTGGGGCTAGTTTTCTCTTGTCGTCAAACGATTTCTAACAACTCAAAGAAGAAACGTTCGCACCTGACCACTTCTATGTGCATATATCAATTCATCTGCTCTTGTGATGCCAGGTATATAGGTCGTCCGATGAGACTGTTATCCAAAAGGGTTCAGGAGCACTATCCCACTTGGTTGCAAAGAGGTAAGAATGGAGCGATAAAGAGTGCTATAATTGGACACATCATGAAAACGAACCACTCTATTCCAAGAACCTACTCGTTCAAAGTCATCTATAAAGTAAAAAGAAACCTTCCAAGGGTTGAACGTCTTCATATTCTCTGCATCGTCGAAGCTCTTGTCATCCATATGGAGAAACCTGAACTGGGTACACAACAGGAGATTGTCCATCCCCTTTTCCTTTTATGGTCATAGTTTCCAGTCTTTGAAACCTTCTCTACCCCACCACACCCCACCTTTTCTTGACATCTTTCTGTTTTGACACTATTCACTTCTTGAGTAATTTATTACTTATTCTTGTTGCTATGATGCCTGATCACAACTCAGTTTCCAAATGTCATCCTGTCACGAAACTTCATGTTTAAACTTATTCACTACTCATCAGTTTTTTGGTTTTTTGACATTTTTGGTATTTCCTTGCCCGACAAATCGTTTTTCACTAGAAAATCTTTACACTAGAAAAATGTGTAAATTTGCGTTTGTACAGCTTTGAAAATGAAATCGCTGAAATACTTGTTCTTTTATATCCTGACGGGTACATTTTATACACCGATCTAAAAGTGTTCAGTATTGATCGAAATCCATAACCAGTGAAAGCTTGAGAGTACTAAACATATGTTTCCTCTTAGTATGGGACTCTTTGGCAGTGTACACTGACAACTACTAGTAGAGTGAATGCATGAAAAAACAAACAGAAATTAACTTTAGGAAGAAATACACACACAACCCAGTTGTAACTAATACCACTGAAGCAACAAAAGGTGGCACTATATACCTCCTACCTTGTAGACCAATATTTCTTTACGCTTAAGCCTAATGTATACACACACACACGTTTTAATATAAACCTAGTAATAATTTAGGCATAGATAATTATCCTCATGGGAGATTTCGAAGATAAAAAGTCCTAAAGCATAAAGCCTATGCGTTAGTGTATGTGTGAGAGAGAGAGAGAGAATCGCGCAGAAATAAACAAACACACACACAAAGATTTCATTATGATGAAACAGTATAAAGATGATTTGCCCTTGAAAAGTAAATGTTATAAAATGAGAAAAAATGTAAATTGTAAATAAAGTGTATTGTTATGGTAGACTGTTGTATCTGTAGCCAGAAGGAATGACAGCTACAACTGCTCGGTTGTGGATGTTCATCATGTGCGTGTCTTTGTTCTCATTCTTTGACATACTGGTTAGACTATTTACGCTTTATGACCTTGTACACTTCGCATATACTTTGTGTAAGTCGGCCATCTAAATTCCGCCTCTCACTGAGTCAGCTGGTTTGGGATAATAATAGAGTTAAGATCTGCATTTGGGTAGTTCCATCAATCCGTTAATCACAGAGCCGAATAAAAAAACCAAACCGAGGTAAAGACCAGAACATCAGCCAAACCTACAAGATACGTGGAAACAACTTAGAATTTCATTCTTGGGGAGCTAATCTAGTCCAAATGAACTATTAAGCAAGTCTTAGTCAAGCGATTCAAGGAATTGAGTAGAACAGTTACTTGAAGGCTACCAAAGTATTGTGCCAATGAGCTTGCCAGTTATATTATTTTTCCTTGGTTGATAAGATTCGTCAAGTGTTGAAGATCACAGTTTATATTGACTTACTAGCTTGTAAAAATTGTTGCGTAATTAATGAGGTCAAATCAGTCGTAAACAAGGCATTCGATTGTAGAAGTAGACGATACAATTTTCAAAATTCAGCGGACATGAAAAGTAGGCTCAGAGCTACAAGTCTATTGTTTTCAATCATTGAAAATGAAAAGACTCGCCTATTCGCATCACTATACAGAACCTGGAAAACGAGGTGAATATACACAGTTTGGGTAGTAAGCATAAAAGTGATTCCATTTCAGCGGGGTAAAACATCAATGAAACATAGATTTTTACAGTTTTCAAAGTTAGTCATTAAATTATTGATAAAAGAGAATATTATAGTCTCTGTAAAATTTCACTCACCATATCAGTACCAAGATCAATACAGAGAATTGTAATTGTACCCAATGGTAGTGGGATATCAGCCAAGATATATATTAGAAATGGTGTAATTTCAGGAATATTCGATGTTAATGTATAGGCTATTGACTTTTTCAAATTATCAAAAATGATACGACCTTCTTCAACACCAGTTACAATCGATGCGAAATTATCATCCAATAAAATCATATCTGCAGCTTGTTTACTCACATCACTACCAGCAATACCCATAGCAACACCTGAAATAAACACGTAAAGATTATTTTTTTTTCTAAATAAAGGAATTTTTTATGCTCCTATAATCAATCAGCATACGAACAAGTATGGATGTGTAACGGTCCAAGTTGCCACGCCTCATATTAGCACATTAAATAACGAACCAGTCAGATGAGAGAGAAAGGAATAAAGAAAAATTGGGGAAAATTCGTAAAAGAGATGAAGAAGAAATGGAAAAAAATGCTGAATTCGACAAAGCGATTAAGATAAGGCTTGGATACAATTGCATGACAGAATGAAGTATACGTTAAGGAGTGATCACTTAAAATATAACATCGCCTGTTTCATATCATCATAAAAGTGATGATAATTTACGTGAAAACAACCATGAATGACATGAGAGTACACACAGTCAAAGTTGAATAATAGAAACTCAAGTTGATGAAAGCTGATGTGTACAGAAAATGGAAAGGTTTTATAGTTAGGAATCTTAGGACACTGGTGCAACAAAAGCAGCTAATACTTGTGTAGACTGCTGAATAATTCATAACTTTTGAACTTTATTTTTAAGGGTCACTCGGTTCCTCGAATGCAGAAAGAAGAGGTAAAACGTCGAAAAAAGTTAAGTAGCAAGCCGAAACTTGCTACTTTCTACCCATTTCTAGAAGGACAATATCTATCAATTTAGTCCTGCTAATCAATCAGAAGCCTGCACATGGCTTCTCGCAAATGTTTGATGTGCGCAGATCGATTGTATAAGTTTCTAGGAGATTTTGAACTTCTCTGAAAGATTTAGGTGACATTACTGTACTCTTTAACTGATACAACATAAATGAATGGTCGAAGAGGTTACATGATAGGGCATAAAATTGATTACGCTAACACAATGGAGTTCACATCTGTTTTATATATCAATCATATTACGTACTACTCATCAGTTGATTTACTCACCATCATCATCCATTTGGTTCTCAATGGCTCACCAATCTTTTTGACTCCTTATTTTTATGATATGATGTCAAAAATATTTTGATCTTAAGTATCAGACCGAGTGGTTTGATGGATAATTTCCTCAAAGTATTCCCGCTGATTTTAAATATCAGGTTGGATATTCTAAAGAGCGGTAATTAAGTGATGCACGTGATAAAGATCTAGTATTAATTATACAGAAAATTTTATTAGAAATGAAGATAGGTGTAGCACAGTAAAGCTGAGAGTGAAATCCAACTGGTGACCTACAATAGGGAGACGTAGACACCTTTACCCCATAACGCATTGAATTCGGGGTCAACAACAGACAAGAGAAAACAGGTATAATATGGGTAGTCGTAAAAAGTCATGAGAGTCATGTAGAGCCAGTTACATTGAGCGCATAATGAGACGGGTCCATCGTCAAATTTGTGAGCGCCACCCAACATAGTTGAGGGAGGAACAAATTATAACAATAAAGAGCTCTATACTTGCATATGTAGTTGACACGGGGCATCAAGTAGATGCTAGAAAAGCTTTCAAAATTATTCATCACATTCCAATTAATTTACCACATTGATTACGCACTCGCTTACTTCACATAGCAGAGGTGATTGCAATCCACCCTTAGGAACCTAATTTTTGTATTCAAAAGAAACTTGTTAGACCACTTTCATTACCCAGGCCGTCAACATGATGTAACTCCAAGTATTAATTTGTACACCTCTTGTTTCAATCAATATTCATTTATTTACCTATTATTATGTAATTATTTATTGTTTATGACTTAACATTCATCAAAAAATCACTCCATTTGCCCAAAAATAACCAGCTTTATATTTCCAATTCTAATTACTCTATTGATTATTTACATCTTAATTTATCAAATTTATCTTGATGACTTAATATCTATAATTAATGTTCACCAACCCCCGACCACCACTTGATTGCTATTTCGATTGAATTGTAAAACTAGATATTAGTGTGTAGCGCAAGATGAAGATCTAAACGGAAAGGATTATATCTTTCTTCGTTCAATCACTTTTTTTCTAAGAGAAAAGAGTGAAGACAATGAGTGAATGCAAATCCACTACTGTGAACAATGTCGAGCCATTTTCATTCAGAATCTTTAATTCTCAGTTTCTGTTGTTGAACCAATCGAGGAAGTCGACATTCCCCTTAAAAGACAACAAACTTCAACTACCTAAATGACTGATACCATATCTTTATTTGTTTATCCTTAAAATATTTTTCTAAACTAAGCCCACTTTACCAGGTACAGTGTGACAGATTAGATGTTTAAACATGTGTAACATTTGTCTTAGCCTCCTCAACTGACAAAGGTCCATAACTTTACAAGCTAACCTCTCTCTCTCTCTCTTTGATTAAATACTCCACGCACAACTTCTACAACGCTTACGTAGTTATCAAGTTGGAGTTTCAACAAATTATTATTATTTATTATTTGTCCCTTGGGTTCCTAATGGAACAAAGGGCTTCAGTAGCACGTCTCTAATGCACTCTGTTCTCTGGAATCTTTTGAACCTGGCTCCACGACAGCCCAGAAGCTCTCATCTCCTCCTCGCACGATCTCCTCCATGTCGCCCTCGAACGCCCAACTCGTCGCTTCCCATCGTGGTCCCACTTGAGGGCCTGAAGTGCGATATCCCCAGTCGGCCTTCTCAGTGTATGCCCAATCCATCTCCACTTCTTTCTGCATATTTGCTGAGCGATATGTTCTTGGTTGGTTGGTTGCCAGAGTTCCTTGTTGCTTATTATTTCTAGCCAATGCCTTGCTAGGTTCAAACATGGTGCAGACATTCCATGTCCCCACGTTTACTTTCGCTTTCATCGAGAGAAGAGAAGACACATCGGCCAATCGGCTTCCCGAAGGCTTTCACCAACCGATGTCATTTCGCCTCTCCGATTCCAGCAAGAAATAAGTTTGTTTTTATTTTTATATTTTGTTTGTGCTTTGAAGTTTCTTCAGCGGTTGGATTTGTTTTACGTAGTAGGGTTGCTAACCCTACGCCCAACCTTCCCTCTTTACCCGGGCTTAGGACCGGCTAGTAACTAGTAGGACAAATCACATTGTTATGCAGTACCTTCAACTCTTGACAAGCATCCAAAAGTTATTTCATTGTCAAAAATGGTGTAATCTTCATGTTTTCACTTGGAAGACTCTTACACTTCCTTTGTATTCCTTCTTTACAATATTGTTAAATGGGTTTCACTTGTTTCTCCACAATCTAATATTGATAATACTGCCAAAACTATCTAAATACATGCATTTATAATGTTGGATAAGCAGTGAAGATAGGAAAGAATAAAAAGATTTTCGGTAAAAATGAATAAACACGCAACTTTAGTGAATCGATGTTATAATGCACAGGTGAACTGTACATAATACAAGAAAATTGTTTGCTCGAAGGTTGTATATATACATATACATTTTTTTCTTTGGTTAAAACATACCAATATCTGCTTGTTTCAAAGCTGGGCTATCATTTACACCATCACCTGTCACAGCTACAATTGCACCTTGTCGTTGGCATCCTTCAACTATAATCAATTTCTGTTGAGGGCTAGTACGAGCAAAAACAATTTCCGAGTGATTTAATAAAATATCATCGATTTGTGCAGGGGTCATTTCACGTAGATCTGATCCATGAATTACGCAGGCTTGTGCATCACGTGGATTGACCTATAGATGAATAATGATTTTTTTTAAAAACAAGAACAAAAAGTGGACTACAACTTGAAAGGAAAACAAAGTATACTGTGAAAAGTAAGAAAACAAGTAAATAGACGAGAAAACAGATGAACCAACAAACAAGCAGAATAAACCAATCAAAAATATTCTTGTCCGTATGTTGGAGAAAAAAATCGAATATATCATTATCGTCATCAATGAAATATTCCTTTTAACAAGAATTTTCGAATGATAGTGATGCCACCATCACTAGCAGTGGAATGCAAGACCTACGTTTCGTCCTGTTTGACACTCATGAGCCGGATCTACTTGCCTTTCGGTGAAAAATGTTGTTCTCACTGAGACTAGAATCCATCACCCATCACCTCAAACACTACAGTATTATCCACTAGGTCGCCGAGTTCCTATGGCCACTACTTGTGCAACGCGTATCTGAACGGAAAAATGATGTGCAAAGACATTGAAAACTGATGATTTCAAAGGCGACTATTTAAACTGACTGACTGAATGAATGAATAAATGTCAAAATTGGATTGACTACATTTGTAGAGATACACATAAGTACTAAAACAAGAAAATGTCACCATATTTAAGGTTACTACTTACCATTTATTTGCACTTCAGTAGCATATACTTCAAAGAGTACTGATGATTTTTGCTCATTTCAACGTGGACCTGACAGTTAGTACGGGAATAAACATTTTCGCGTCAGGAAACTTCAACGAGAATCTTTTCTACATACATCCTAGAAGTTCTTACTAGTGTGCAAACCTAGCTACCCTTAGAAATTAAAATAAGAGTTGTTAAATGTCCTTTTTTATAGCTGGCGAACTACAACTGATCCACTAAGCTGAAGCTTAGTCATTTAATCTTTTGTGAACTACTTAGCCTTATACTGATGGTGGGTGGAAATAAATTAGAATTATTATTCAATACCTCCCCCTCCACCGGGAAAAGAAACGCTTGAAGAAAACCCATTTATCCTTTATCAGTGGCCACTTCCTTAAGATGAAGTTCTCAGGGTGACGTTGTGAATTTGTGGTCTGTGAGACAAAACGCTTCATGAATTATCAGACAGACCAACTAGTAGTGTTACACCAATTCAACAAAATTTTGTTCCATGGCTTGCTAGTAGATTCTTCTTCTCGCGTTTTGCAACACAACATGGAGACGATAATTTAGACCTTCTTCTTCTCTTTCTTTTGTAGGAAAAGAAGAGATGTTTAGGAGTTGAAATACCACCAAATTAAACAAAACATCTAAACCAGTGCCGAATGAAATCCTATTCTAACTCAAACCTATCGCCGATACTGCTCCAAACATCATTTTTCGTACCGAATTATTAGCAAACTTTGTAACTGATAACGCACCGTGGCTCAGATCTCAGGTGGGTTGGTAGCCAGTAAGGCATATTGTATCTGTGTCCTTTCATGTGGAATTATGATTTCCACTGAAATATGATTTAAACAGATTTTAGAAGCGTGATAACAAATCGATATGTGTTTATGGCCATCAATTATGCATCTTAAAAAAAAAAATTCTGAACGTCAGCCTGATTTAAGTTTGCGCTACCAATGAAACTTTCCACCAGACATATCATATCAAATTCTTCCCTTACACCTTGTTTTAATCTCTCAAGTATTTCGTTCAGAAATATCTAGTATCCATCGTGTTTTTTAAATGTTCTAAATGAGTCGTTTTACGAAGTCATAATAAAACGACGGGAAAATGTCATATTAGACGGAAACTGACTTTTGAATGCACAAAACTACATCATATTTCTATCCTTCGGATGCCTATCTGGAATAGCACATGCTTCTGCTGGCTGAATATAAACCAGCACCACTAGACACCGGACGCTAATCCAGTGCAAACCGGTTACTTCACGTTATTACCTTTGAATGTTGTTATTATGAACATCAATCAAAAGCCATAATCATTTTGTTTGAAAATGTTGTTTTAGAAGTAAATTCGTTAATTTATTTTACATGCTAAGAATTCCATACTGTACAAAACATAATGTTTGAAATGAGGCCATTATTATTATGTTATATTCGTGCACATGTTTATCACATTCTAATAACGATAATAAATAAACAAGGGTGGTTTATGAGAAAAAATTGCTTTTAAGAGGGTTGTTAATTACGAGGTGATATCAGTTGGAGGAATTTTGAAAACCTTCAAACACTACACTACAGTTATTTCATCCTAGTCTCCGACTCTTCAGCGGTATGCGCCTACGCCTCTTCAAAAGATGTAAGCCCAAGACCGTCAAGTTTCGTTGCAAGCACGTTACCATCCAACGATTAGATCGCGATTTTATTCTACACATTTCGAATTAGTTATAGGATGCAAGCATCACAGAATGTCATCAAAGGGCATTTGTCCCACTCCCGACATCTTATGTCAGCTCTAAGAAATTCGACTTGAGGCAAGGCACTGGAAAATCACTCAAGTGAGAAGCTTCCAGAGACTTGCTCATTTCAAGATCCTTACCAACAGGGATCGACATCAGGTGGGTGACCCGAACTTGACTGTTCGCAGTGCTGTGAGTGCACACTCCTAACAAGTCTCAAACTAGAACAAAACAGATGTCCACTACCATCAGGCCTTCAATAATTGTTTAACTCCAGGTTGATATTTATCATGGACTGATATCAACTGAAGAAACATTGGAAACCTGGGAGCACTCGACACCTGTTACGCCTATCTATGGGATTCCTCAGCAGTGCGCACCTATGACCCCGTCCACCTCACCAAGGATCGAACCCACGACCTTCGGGTGCCATGGCCAGCACGTTACCATTGAGCCACTGGGTCGAAATCCAATGGTCCATATTTCCTACTTCTGTCAGTTTACAATTTAGCGCGATCTCCATCCATTGCCATCGCTGAGTAACTATTCTCATGTTCGACTTAGTTGGCTCCATCGGTCACAACTTCGCACTGGAACTTCGGGAATCGCTTCTCTAAGCTAGTCACCAATGAGCACTAGATTGCGAGTGTTCAATGAATGCTAACCTTTAAACCAATTAATCCACACAAACTCTCAATATAATGAATAAATAGCTCGTGATAAAAGCATATACACAGATAGCGTAAAGGTAGACTTCGGTGTCGAATTTGAGGAGATATGAACAGAACTCTAGTGACAAACAATTACGTTTAAAAGCCATTCATCAAACATGAATATGAAGGAACTGCCATTTAAAAAACAGTAAGAACAATAGAATTGGTTTTTTTTTTGAATTACCTGACGAATTGGAATACCTCGTTCAGCTGCAATATCTTCTACAGTTTTTGAATTCTCTGAAATAATTCCCACACCTTTAGCGATAGCTTTTGCTGTGATTGGATGGTCACCAGTTACCATGATAACTTTAATTCCAGCTGATCGACATTTAGCCACCGCGTCTGGTACTGCTGCTCGAGGCGGATCAATTAAGGACATTAGGCCAACAAAGCGTAAATTAGTTATTGGAAAATTAGGTTCATCCACGTTGAATGCATAACCTCTGGAAGAGAGACAGAGAGTAAAATAGACGTTGGAATAGAAAATGAAACACTCTTCTCTCAGAAAAAAAATACTAAAATAACTTGAGGTCAATGAGGATCTTATTTTTAAGGTAGTATTGACCACGGACTGACATCGGTTGCAGAACTATTGGAAACCTGGGAGCACTGAAAAGCTGCTTCGTCTCACGATGAGATTCTTAAGCAGAACGCATCCAGGATCTCGCCTCGTCAGGAATGGAACTCAGGATCTTCAGTCTTCCCAGTGAACGAGTTAATAATTCAGCTACAGGGTTGGGAGATAATGGTTCACAGCTTCCTATTTTTGTCAGTTCGCGGTATAGCGCGACCGTCACCCAATGTCTTCAGTAGGCATCCACTTCACTGCCTGAACCTACGGTCAGGCTTATCATTAGAACTTAGAGATATCTATCTCGAAACACGTCACTAATGAGCACGATACAGTAACGTATCTTGAAGCTATTAGAGATTTTATTTTCAAGAAACCTGAAGGTCATGAGTTCGATCCCTGGCTGTGTCGTGGATCCGTACTCCTGATAGGTCCCATACTTGGACGAAACAACTAACCAGTGATCCAAGGTTTTCAGTGGATTCTTACTTGATGTCAGTCCGTGATGAATACCACCTTAAAACTAAAAAGTACTTACCATTCTACGGAATAAGTTATTTTATTTACTTTATGTTAACATTTGACCGGATATGGTCATCACATTGGTGTAGATGTCCTCTCAATCAGTAACAATGAAAATATGAACAAGGTATTAGTTTAATGTTTATGTGAGTTGTTGCTCAGCTATCACTTATGTTATTCATTATTTAACAAGTAGGAATAGGATGGAAAAGGGTTCAGTGTGGCCATACCAAGGTCTGGCACCAGTCGATAAAGTCCCTGAACGCTGATCTGAGTCGTATGGGGAGATATAGACTATCTGGCTGGGGTCCCCGAGATAATAAGGAATAAATGGTTGCGGACTTTTGGTGACATGACTGAAAATGGCTCACAATGGTTAAGATGTATTCACTCCTTAGTATATTCTGAAGCTTGAATATTCGCACTAACCGTTATCTTCAGATCGTTTATTCTCTCACACGACTGTGTCCACACTATCATCAACCTTTTTCTATGCATCTGTTCTTTGTGTACTTCTGTGAAGTGTGGCAACTTGAATCGATGCAGTTGTGTGAGAGGTTATGCGTCGAATTTGTCAGTCAGTCAGATAGGATAAATTGACATTTTTATGCTTAAAACTGTTTATGGAATATTTCAACAAACCCTTTTGTGTAGACTACAACATTTTGTCATCATCATCGTTATTTCATTTGTTATTAGGTAATAGAAAAGAGACAGAAATCTCTCGCGATCTCCTACGAACAAAAAATGATAGGAATATTGTTATGGCATGCATTAAAATTCCCATGAACCTTGTAAGAAGAACTAAATCCCTGAAGCTTTTCTCAATCAATCGCCTTGCTACAAAGTTTCGAGAAAAGACACGTGATCATACGCATGTCTAATATGAGACAAAACTTCGCCCCGTTTACTAGTTCACTAGTTTGTCAGACGGTCCTAAGCCCGGATAAAGAGGGAAGGTTGGGTATAGGGCTAGCAACTCTAGCACGGAAAACCAATCCAATGGCTAAAGAAACTTCAAAGCACAAAAAATATATAAAATAACAATGAACTGATTTCTCGCTGGAATCGGGGAGACGAAATAACACCGGTTGGTGAAAGCCTTCAGGAAGCCGACTGCCCAACGTGCCTTCTCTTGATGAAAACAGAAGTAAGCATACAGACATGGAATGTCCACACAACGTTTGAAGCTGGCTGGCAAGGCTGCCCAGATTGCCAAAGAGACGAGGTGTAGCATAGAAGTGTCAGGAATTAGCGAAAGCAGATGGAATGGAAGTGGACTCTCCAAACCGTTAACTGGAGTCAAAAATCTACTCCGATATTGTCACCCAGATGACAACCAAGAGCACACTGACGGAATGGCTACCATGATCTCAACAAGAACATCGAAGGCTCTCTCTCCTCCAGGATCAGGATCACGACAGCAAGAAACGAAAGTTACAATGACACAATGCTACACACCTACAAATAATGCAGATCAAGGGAAGAAGAAGGAATTCTACAGAGAACTGCAATCAGTACTGGACAAGACTCTATCCGAGTTGGCGATATAAATATTCTAATGGGTGGGGTGACATGAATGCCAAACTGGGAGCAGGAAACACAGGAAAAGAACCAATTATAGGTCGAGAAGCACCTGTTTGTGAAATGATGAATGAGAAGATGAATAAGAAGCTTACCTGAATACTTAGTAGTCTTCACAAAATATACAAGACTGGAAGTTATCTAGCCAATCAAAACAAAACAAACCGAAGGTATAGACTAAGACAACCTCGTCTAGTTCGCTAGTTCACTAGTTTGCCAGACGACCCTAAGCCCGGATAAAGAGGGAAGGTTGGGCATACGGCTAGCAACCTTACCCCGTAAAACCAATCCAATCGCCAAAGAAACTTCAAAGCACAAAGAATGAATGAGAATGGAGAACTGTTTGTAGACTTCTGCGCATTCAACGACTCGGTGATTGGAGGCAGTGTGTGCAAACACAAGGACATTCACAAAGCGACATGGATTTGATTTCATCAGATAGACACTAAAAATCAGATTGACTTCATCTCAATGTGAAGAAAGTGGAGACGCAGCCAGCCTACTGGACACAAGATCAGATCAAGAAGGGGAGCAGATGTAGGTTCACACCACTCAATATCTAGTGCAAGGAACCTTCAAAATCAAGTTGAAAGTCTTCAAAGAAGTTGCCAATAGACCAGAGTTCAAGTTGAATACCCAGAACAGAAACTGAAGGGCGAAACTACAAATGACATCTTCGCGTCAGCTATCAGGGAAAAATGGGAGACATTAAGCAACATCCGTGAAGAAACCTGTGTGGAAGAACACTGGAACTCTTTGAAAGCTATGTGGAAAGAAACCTGCATAACCGTACTAGGGGGGAAGAAGAAAGAAGACAAGGAATGCATCTCGACGGACACATGAAAGCTGATAGACGAGAGGAAGGTGGGGAAGCAGAAGATGAACCAGTGCAGTGCACGGATGAACAACGGAGAGAGAAAGTGAATACAACCTATAAAACACTGGTTAGGGAAGTGAAGAAGAGTGCGCGGAAAGACAAAAGACACTTCTATGACACACTGCCAAGTGAAGCAGAACGCAGATGAAATCAATGAAAGATAGTGAAGGAAACTTAGTTACCAAAGAAGAGAAACAAAGGAAACGATGGGCTGACCACTTCGGAAAACTCTTGAATCGACCACCAACACCACCTCCAACTCGTCTAGAAATACTACCAGCAGCTCAGCCACACAACTATCAGTGAACACAGAATCTCCGGCAAAAGCAGAAGTGAAGTCGTGAACGACATAAAGTTAGTGAAATCCGGGAAAGCAGCAGGACCAGATGGAATTCCACCAGAAGCACTCAAAACAGACTCTGAGACAACAGCGGACGTGCTCACACCACACCACTATTGCAGAAGGTTTGAAAGGAAAGAAGGAAAGGTTTCTGCCGACTGGAAGAAGGGCTACCTTGTCGAAATCCCAAAGAAGGGAGACCTAAGTCTTTACAAGGACTGGTGAGCATTCATACTCCTGTTCACCCCGAAGAAAGTATTAAGGCCCATCATCGTGGAGAAACTAAAAAATGCTTCGCATTCGAAAGTACGACCGGAACAGGCTGGCTGGCTTCAGGAAGAACAAATCATGTGGGGATCAAATTGCAACGCTACGCGTCATCATAGAACAGAGTATAGGATGGCAGTCAACTGGATCTCTACCTCAACTTCATCGATTTTGAAAGCCTTCGACAGCGTCCACTGAGAAGTAATTTGGCAGCTTCTTCAACACTACGGTTTTAATGCCACAAACCTTTATCAACCACATTCAGCAGCAGCTATATGCTACATGCCGAGTGATTCACAATGGAAAGCTAAGTGACGCCTTTGAAGTGAAGACAGGTTGACAGTTAGACAAGGCTGCCTACTACCACCGATGATCGTCCTGATTGTGGTCAACTCGAGTGAACCGAATCATGCAGCAAACTGTGAGGAGCTGTGAGAAGATGGGCATACGCTGTTTGACCGACCCTAGAATATTTGTCTTTTGCTGATGATGATTTATGTCACGCAAACTCGAAGATATACAGGCGAAAACTAACAAGCTAGAAGAAGAGACAAGGTGGCGAAGACGGGAATTCCTTCAAGTGGACGTGGAGAAGACAGGGGTGAAGAAGAGACCCAAACAACAACAACAGGTACGAATCACCATCAACGCGAGAAATCTGAAGGAAGTTGTCTCTTACATCTACCTACCTAGGCAGCATCGTCTCAACTACAGGTGGCACAGCCACAGACGAGGATGTCAAAGACAGGATCGGAAAGACAGCAAGATAGGACTTCATTACTCTGAAATCAGTGTGGAGATCTACTCCACTCATCATTTAAAGAACAAGATCCGGGTTTTCAACACTAATTAAATCAAGTAAGCGCTTCTATGTGATGGTTGAGAGACTTGGCACGTCACGAAAAGCATTTCCAACAAACTGCAGACACACATCATCAGCTGCCACCTACGCTCACTCGATACTGAAGATCAGATGGCCAGAGAGAATAAGCAACAAGGAACTGGTTTGGCAACGAACCAACCAAAAACCTATCGCCCAACAAATATGCTGAAGAAAGTGGAAATGGATTGAACGTACACCGGAAAGACCATCTGAGGATATCATGCGTCAGGCCAGGCCATTGAGTGGAACTCAAATGGGGAACGATGAGCTGGGCGTCCGAGGGTGACATGGAGGAGATGGTATGAGGAGGAAATGAAAGCTTCTGGGCATTCGTGGTGCCAGATTCAAAAGACTGTAAAGAAGAGAGTGAAATGGAGACGTGGTAGTGAAGCTCTATATTCCACTAGGAACCCAAGGGACAAGTAATAATGAAAAAATCAGACAAAATTAGTGGGAAGTATCCTTCTGGAAAGACCCGGAACTAGTCAAGGCCGTTGATATATATATATATATATATATATATATATATATATATATATATATATATATATATATATATATATATACTTTCTACATAGTTTGACGTTGTAATATACTTTATGCCATCTTACTGCCTTTTCTATTTCCCGAGGAAGAGTGGCCGATAACGGGTGGAATATAAGGTTACTCTTCAAGTGTTCATATATATCAAATGTTTAGTTTCAGTATACTAACAACAGTGAGTTACTTTCCTTGTAAAAGTTCATTTGTGCATTCTCTTCTCACATACGATATCGGTTGGAGGTAGAAGATATCCAAGTTGTAAAGCAACCACTGAGATGGCTTAAGCGTGTCTTTTGTATGCTAAGCTGACACTAACCTCAATACACCACGTTAAATGTAAAAGATTAGGTGACAAGGAAGCTACAGGTGACCGGGCAAACATATCACAGCAATTTATGATGTCAGTATTGCACTGAGCCATGTAGAAATGTGTAGCTTGCGTAATGTAATAATAAGAAGAAGGTTATCCGAGAAATGTGTAGTGTATTTACGCAATACATTTGGAAAAATCTGATTATACATTTACTTATCAAGACATTTTACATGAAGAATGAAACTAGAGTGGGGCAAAATAAATAAAGATAATACAAGATTTGTGAAATATAGGAACAATACATTTTCACACCACCCTTAGTATTAAAATGAGATAAAGATTACCAAGGCTGAAGGTTTAAGGTGAAGACAAATTGTTTTTGAATACACAAATGGGGTCCGAACTTTCTTTCGTGTAGCTAAGGCTTCAGTGAACTAAAGTATACTGTCTTGATGGCTCCTATACAATGGTATATAGCCTGTTTTGAGGTCAAACCTGTGACCTGCTTCTATAATGTGTTTACCTATAAACGATGTCTGCCTCTCGCCGTATTTATCAGATTATTTGAATATAATTGTTTTTCTAGCCATTCAAAGATATATCCCTCATCACCCTCGACTTCATAGTTCAGCTACTCCTCCCAATGTATGTGTCACCGCACACACATAAATCGTTAAACAGCGCGATATAACATGATTATCTACGTAGCGATGAGGTTTATTGGAGCATAGACTTCGTTTTCTGCATATTATTGCGCTTGGCTACATAGTATGTCTTTTTGATAACTGAATTAAGTCTTCATTTTAAGACTATACTGTTTGATCCCCCTTATACAGTAGAGTGATGTAAACATCCTTCTTCAGGACAGAATACTGATTAGTTCCAACAGTTGGGACGTTTTACTAAACCTCGTTTGTATTGTATTGGATAGAAACTATCAAAGTTAAGGTACTGTACGGTCGACGTAGGTATAGGTCAGCAGAGATGAGGTGGTCATGATTATAAGGAATCAATGATCACAGTCTTCATGTAATGTCGCAAGAAAACTATCATAATAGAGTGAATGTATCCCCGTTTTCGTGATCCTCAGAAATTTTCAGATATTTCTGCTAGCACTACTGATCTCTGAGCGCTCTCTTCTCACACATTTCTGTCTACTTTGAGACCACTTTTTTTCTATTCACCAAATGTTTCCATGGTCGTATTGTGAAATACACCAATCTCGTGGTGACGTTTTCCAGTTCTACGCCATGCTCCACGTGGATCTATCGCCTCATTTGTACGCTGAAATACCTGTTGTTAGAATAATCCATTTAAAATGTGCAGACAAATCGTTGTAGTGTGTGTGTACTCAGTCTGAACAGCTTACATCTCATCAATAGACAATGATTTATTCACATTCCCTTCATATTTGTCCAATAACTGACGAATATTTTGCGCTGCTCAGTAAAACCTCCAAACATGTTGATATCGCGAATTATGACAACACAAAGTGATTATAATGATAATAATCACCTAGTTTCAGACAAAAATATTTAAGCGATTATGAAATTCTCAATGTGTTTGTATGATTAAACAAATTTACTCCTTTTACAATATTTTTAATTTGAATAATCACGTTAGTTAAAATAATACTCGGAGATGATGATCGAAGGTGAAATAAGAATCTGGACCGCAAGAGGATTCAAACCAGCTACCTCCAGGTTACCGGTCAGGTTCTGAATGACTGGCAAAATCAATGTAGAACCTCACACATAACTGCATCACCTCAAGTTGCCACACTTCACAGAAGTACACAAAGAACAGGTGGATAGAATATAAGTGATATCAAAGCAGACGAAGTCGTATGAGAGAACAAACAATCTGAAGATAACGGTTAGTGTGAATATTCAAGCTTTAGATGTCAAGGAGTGAATATATCTGCGTCATTGTGGGCGATTTTCAGTCATGTCACCAAGAGTCCGCGACTACTGGTTCTTGTCATCTCCAGACCCCAACCAGCCAGGCTACATCTCCCCATATGACCCAGATCAGCAGTTAGGGACTTCATCGCCTGGTGGCAAGTCTTGGTCTGACCACCCTGGACCCTCTTTAAACCTAATTCAACTCCTCCCAGCAAGGCACATCGAGGTAGGTGGTGGCTCGGCATGTGCAGTACATGTTCAGGCCATCTCAGCCGAATAAGGTTCATGGCGTAGTCAGTCGACTTACCTGTCTTCCCTAGTGCCCTTCACCTGACTTCAGCACTGTTCACATGGTGATTCCTTTCATCAAAAGCGGAAAGTGCTACGAAGATATTTGTGACCAATATCCTGTAACTACCTCATATCTCCTACTCTAAACGGCCATGTCTCTCAGCGGTATGACAGGACAGAACGAACTGCAGTGCAGTATACTCGTCCCTTAATAGATAGTCGGATATCTGGCCGGTGCCACGGGTGATACAAGTTAGTAAGTGCCAAAAGGGCCTTCCCTGCATCCGAGCTGAGATTCTGTCATCAACACATTCCACCACTTGACTCCCGATTTGGTGCTCTACCAATCGATCTACGAAACCCAACGACTACTTGGTTTTAGGTTGTCGGGGAGCGAATAGAAAAGCACATGTAAATTTGGTGGTGGAGATTCATTTAGCCTGTATGAAAATCTGCAGTTCCAGCTAACTGTTCCTGTAGTGGCTATGTGATGTACTGTTGTGCGCTAAGGAACTGATTATCATCTACGTGACAGGATGGTGTGTGAGATTGCCTCTTGCGATTTGTTAATATTTGAATGACTAGAACAAGCAAAAAGGCAGCAAGTTGGTGTGATATATTCGATGGAGAAATTTTGGTGGTGCAAAATTCAAGCAGGTCTTCAATGATGCTGAAGATTCTATCTATCTTTCCAACATTTTATTGACTAAAACAAACAAGTTAAGATAGAAACGTAATTATCTCAGTGTATGTAAGAATCATTACCTTCCTTCAGCTTATCGTGATACATAAAACAAATATACTAGGTTTTTTCTTCTCCATACAATTCTTCTTACTCAATTAGTTGAATAGGCATGAGGAAAACAATCACAATGGGATATATGATGAAATTCTTGATTCGGAAAACTCTCTTCCATTGTATCCTGCATCCTAAGACATATATAAGACAGAACAGCTGGAGAAACTGTAGGAAGGATCCATTGTTTTTTAGCTTTGTCGTTTCACGTCGTCGATTTGGATGGAATCAACTGGCCACTATTAGCATTCAAGACAACACATCAATATTGCCAGTAACTTAAGTTTGAAAGTAATGACGGATAGTGAATAGCAGTTAAATCTACGACTGGCATTTCGTCCTATCGGAGGCTGATCAGTTGAATGTAACTTCTTCACAGTGAGTGATGATATTTTAACTTAGACTCGAACCCACAACTCACTGCTTCAAATGCCGTAGCGTTGTCCACTACGCAGTTACAACAGCCAGTCTTTAAGTGACGGATATTGTTTAAAAATATTAAGGCCTATACAGTTTCTCGTACAACTAGAAGACAAGACCCAGCTAGGATGCAACGCACATACTGGATTCCACTGCTAGCCCCTCGTCATCACTGAGTTTCAAAAGAATCTAACTGTTTGAAATAGACAACAATGTAGATTTAGGATGATGGATACAAGAAAAAATGAAGACTGAATATTATCCAATATCTATGTCCCCATCCATTTCTACTGATGAATAACCTTTTGGAAATATGCACATGTATGTTCTGTCTTACATGTGCGCCAATTTGTAAACAACTGATGAGTATTGTTCTCGATTGTATCATCTTGTCGTTGAGTGGATCGAATTGATCAGTCTCTATTAGCATAGGGGCTCCTGTACGGATGTCTCGGTATTGCTTGCGTTTGAATGACATATTGTTGATGGATAGCGGTAAGCAGTGGAATCCGGTTTGACGCATATTTCGTCCTATTATGGACTCGTCAGCTGGACGTACCTGCCTCCCAGTGGGCGCAACTTCGGTCCCACTGCTAGCCACTATCCATCATCAATATATCATTCAAACATAGGTAATCTCGAGGCATCTGCCCACGAAACCAAATGCCAATAGAAACCAATCAATTTGGTTCGCTCAACGATGGGATAATACAAGCAACAACACTACAACTATAACCGTCACACAGGAAGCGTCTATCGCAACTCAGTGGTCTGATGGATAACGCTCAGGCGTTTGAAGTTATCGGTCTCGGGTTCGAGTTCTGGTGGGAACAACATCGTTCACTGAGAGACATGTACATCCAGCTGACGAGTCCAAAATAAGGTGAAACGCGCGTCAAGCTGGATTCCCCTGGTAGCAACTGCTCATCATTAATATAACTGATGAGTATCTTCAAAATTAGTGAATCCATAGTATACATACTACTATGATTACTTTTCTTGCCTTTATTCCAGCCAAATCAAACCAAGTTGTCGTAATTCAATACCTGAAAATAAATAACCAACCTGATATATTACTTACTATAAAAGTTTAATATTCACATACCGTTTATATGTATCCGCTGGCAAACGATAGTCACAAAATCCAAGTACTCTTTCTCCCATCCCACCTAGTTCTAGATAAGCACTATTGAAATTTTCACGCATTGCTTCATCCATAATTTCTTCTTTGCCATTAATCAAAATTGTGCCACAACGATCAAGTATACGTTCAGGTGCACCTTTCATAACTAACAGATAACGATCGTCCCCATCATTTGTTTCATGAATTGATAACTAGAAGTCAGTAGAAAAAGAAAAACACAGAATTCCATCGAAAGATAGCCACAGGTTGAGTATAATATAAAATGTACTGTTGAGACTAATAAGTTGACAGCTGGAATTTTAACATCATCGAATTTGATTCGATGATTAACCACCCCCCCTCTCCCCCTAACTTACATCCATTGTTTATGAAACCAACATCACTTTTATGCTGTCTAGTAGTAGTCAGATTAGATTCCTTGACCACAACATTCTGTGATGGTAGAAACAATTACAGTACTAGCTAAAGAATGATCAACAAAGAGCAAAGTATCTTAATGGCAAAACTTTTTAATGTGTCGGGTGAATGATACAAATTATAATCACCTACGTTTCTATCATGAAGCTGTGAAAATGAATCATCGAATCAGTAATCATCTTCGCTATAACCTCTTTTTTTTTTGCTTTTCAATGATCCAATGGGGTTTTATTAATATCATGAATATCCTTGGTGTTCTTCAAACGTCTATACAAAACGCAGAAATCGCTATAACAATTCCTGGAGTCAATGCACGTATCCTTTACTTAACTGTGATAAGTAATCATACATTTAATGGAGACTCAGATAAGAATGATATGCGCGATCCAGCGAAGACAAAACAAAATAGGTCAAAGCAAAAATATCCTGATATTTTGAGAAATATACTGCAAGAAAATACTTCATGTATGCCTGGAGTGACTATTTTCAAAATAATCCTTCTGTTGAGAAGGGAAATGAGGCGATATTGTTTAAAATATATAGATGATGAACGTATGAAAACTAACTCAAGAGTTGACATCAGATATAGTTTGTATTCGTGTGTCACAACCTGTTTAAGATGAAATAATTCCAACGTTGTTTCGCACGGAAGTCTGCTCCCTGAGCTTCTTCAGGAGAAATAATCAAAAATTAAAATACCGAAGGATGTATAATTGAATCCAAAGACGTGTATTTAATCTCCTCTTCGTATAGTCACTGTCTTTCTAAAATATGATAACTAATCATTCAGTGTAAAATTGTGTCTCTCTTGTTATATGGCTAAAGTGTGTTACCACTCACATTCTTCTCGACTGTAAATATCAGACAAAAAAGGTCATAAGTGACATTGTAGTCATTCAGTACAATAGAATACCTCATATGTTCAATTTTGAGGTTTGTGGGGATTTATTGACTTCAGGATGCCATTCATTATGGAGTGACATCAGTTGGATTGATCCCTGGCGGGGTCATGTTTGGGCACTGTTGAGGAGTCCCACACCAGAATGAAATAGCTGTCCAGTGCTCCCAGGTTCTCAATGTTTATCAAACTGATGCCAGTCCATAATGAATACCATCCCAAAGTCGACAAATCCCCACAATCAACGAGAATATTCATGGTAACACACACACGAGACAGTGGATAACGCTCTGGAATTTGAAGCGAAGGGGACTGGGTTCGGTGGGAACAACAGCATTCACTAGGATGCAGGTACGTCCAGCTAACGAGTCCCAAATAGGGCGAAATATCACCTCTGGATTCCTCTGCTGGTCACTAAGATCAATATAAAAGACATAAGATTTCACACTGAGTGATTAGAAAGATAAAAACTATACGAAGAGGATTGGACAAGGAGATTAAATACATGTCTTTGGATTCAATTATATATCCTTTGATATTTTAATTTTTGATTATTTCTCCTGAAGGAGCCCGAACCAGACTTCTTATGCTCTTGTGTATTGAAGAAGCTATAACCAACTACAATTTCTATGCAGTTTATCAGAATATCAATAGAATCACATTATAGCACACATTACTTATTAGTTCTATGGTAGCATTTATCACGAACTGATATCGTTTGGAGAACCATTGGAAACCTGGGAGCACGGGACAGCTACCTCCACCTAATTTAGGACTCCTCAGTAGCAAGCGCTGACGACCTCGTCCCGCCAGGGATTGAACTCAGGACACTCAAGTTTCATGAGAACGTGTGCGTCAGAGTTCAATGGTTCACAATTTTCGATTTTTGTCAATTCCTGATATGGTGAGACTGCTGCGGATTTACATACTAGGACGAAACAGCTGTTCAGTGCTTCCAGATTTTCAAAAGTTCCCCGAAAGATCTCGGTACGTGATCAATACTACCTTCAAAATGGAATCCTCATAAACGTCAAACTACATTACGTAATATTGACCCCACATTACTCCTAGGGGAGACAAAAATCCCTTCTAGAGAAAAAATGTCATGATTTATGGTTATTCGGACAGATACTTGACGCATGCTGAATGATGTCTAAACAAGTCATGTAAAGCGTTTTAATGTATAACGATAACTAAATGATAATTAAACGTTAAAAGTTTGAATAAATATAAAGCGTCTCAAGCACAATACAATATGGTACCGGGTCAACGTATTGTTAAAATAGTTGGCTGTACATTGGTTGGTCACTGAAGAGTAACCCATTTCATGTTGTTTAGTTCTGAGTTCTATCAACCATCTTGCAATGTGGCCAACCAAGCTAGGAGGCTCACCATTGCGGTACACTTTGACGGGAGTTGGTTAATTGGCGGCAATCGACAGGAAGCCCTGCACGTGAGCCGTATACTCAGTACCATGATAGTTAATCAATCAGCTGATACCAAAATAGCGCCTAATATTAGTACGCACCGGTCCCGGCTGTCAAGGCCGAAATAATATAAATTAAGATACAAGGCAGCATGAAAAATAGGAAAAGCCATGTTGTCAAAAGTCGTAGAAAGTCATAAAAAGAGAAGGTAAAAAAAGAAGGCGAATGTGATATGATCATAAGGATTAAGGTGATGTGTACATACATCTCTGAGAGAGATTCTTAAATATATCATCTAGAGTCACCAATACCGGTATCGGTACCGATAATCAAGACAGACACACAGTTAAAGATTTCATGAACGAATGTTAAATTTCACTCTGGTCACCTGTAACCTATTACCAGCCTGAACCTACACCATTTTAGCAGCTAACACTGCGAAACAAAGTAAATGGCGACAAGGCATCCGTAACAGTCTGTCATCAATGAAGTGATATGGCAGACTAAATGAATTTGGAATATACCGAACAGCGTAATAAAAATGTGCTCAGGTTGAAAAATATTTATGAACGTTATGCGTTCAATGTTCAAGGATATCAAGGATAAATACTCCCAAAAAAGCTTAAAAATAAGGTTAAGCTATTTGTTCATTGCTCTTCAATCATCTAGTAATTCTTCCAACTGGTTTCTATTAACTAAAGGTTATATCGAAATTATTATTCAATTCTCTACAAATTCCTTAAATTAATCCAAGAAGAATATGATTAAAAAGAAATAGAGTATTACAATAATTATACCTGATATTTATTTGTAGAATTGAAGGGGATCTCAGCAACTTTTGGATTTTTACGCCGATAGTCTGTAACACCACCGAATGAAAGTTCAACACACTTTAACAAAGCTGATTCTGAGGCATCACCATTACATTCTCGTTTCAGAACTGGTTTGTTTTCTTCACCAGCTTTAAATTCAGCTCGATTGCAAAGCATACCAATACGTGCTAAAGCTATCCATGTCGGTGAATTCTTGTCGTATGTGGCGACTATAAATTAGTACAAAGACAATAATAATAATAATAATAATAATAGTATTAATAAACATATCACACAAGCAGAAGGCTGACTGCAAGTAATATTTTACCGATAACAACCGGTAACATTGCTATGCAGCTCTGGTTCATTGGGTTTAAGTAGTGAAATTTCAACCACTAGTTCGATCACCACTTCGTCTATACCGAGGTCCGAGCAACAATGATGGTCACTGAATAGATGTCGCTCACTGCCTACTGTATGGATGTGAACATGGTTGTTAAGTTTGTGTTTTCACCTCTGGAAAACAAGCATTAACCCTCTCGTAGAGGCCAACAACTCACTGACATCATTATAATCATTACTTATTATCAGTAGAGCACAAGGATGGTACAGCATGGGCCCCAAGAAATGCACCATACAAAATAATTTAATACTATTTTGAAGACAAACCGAAGGGGAGTGGATAAAAAGAAAAACTATAAGAATAGAATGGTTAGAAGAATAGCTCAATAAGATACATTCAAAACAAAATATTCATCACTTCCCAGCAGTAGATGATAGAAGGAAGCTACAGCACCACTGCCACTCGTTTCGCTTCTGAACAATATCCGATAACGTCTCAACCCACTGACTTGTGTGATCTCTGGGAATCGTGATGCACCAACAGATGCTAACCCAATACAACTATCCTTCATCTCACAGTGCTATGACATACACTGATCACCCCTCAGGTCCTTTCACCCAATCCCAGATCTAGCAAACAATGAACGGTATGGAAGCCGTTGGGACAGCATGTGTAGCAGATGTCCAAGCAAGTGAAGCCAGTGTTTCCAGATAACTTCACTTATTGATTGACGATCTCCGTCATGCTCAAACACATGCTGTAAAGTTTTGTAATTCATTTAAGCTGAGCAAAAGGTTTTTTCAGTTCATACGTCACTGAGAATACCAACACTCAGCAAGACATCGTTATATAAGACCAGTAATCAGCAGACTAGTAATCAAGCAATACTAAGAAAAAGAATCCTGGATATCATTGCTATCACCAGCAATTTCTCCCAGGATGAATCTATACAAACATCTCCTACATCAACAAAACTCAACTGATGAGTACTGGGAGGTTCGAGTTTCAGTAGGAATACCATCACTCACCGAAATAAAAGAAAAATCAATTTTCGAATCCAAAATAGGACAAAACGATTCATAGATTTCACTGTTAGCCACCACTAAGCAAACGAATAATATACTGAATCTTCTTTCAGGTACCAACCACTGAGGCATCCACAAACAAGGCCATAAATCAAAATATATCAATCAATTCAGTCCAGCACAAAACAATCAACAGGGACGTACAAGTATCAATAAATAAAGACTGGAGTGGATTGTCACATTGAACCAGTGACAAGAATAGCACATACAAGTAGGAAAACATGAGTGTTTATGAAACGATATGAGCTGAATTTTCTACCACAGAATATGTGTTGAAAACGAAAAAAAAAATAAAAGGTTTCGGTTGATGTCAAATAATCATTTCAGAAGCTATGAACATATCACTACTCCATTTTTATTTCTTTCTCCTTAAGTTAGTATTTCCCTGTCATTGAGTGAACCGAATTGGAAGATCTGTATGGGCTCCTGTGTGAATGCCTGGACATTGCCTATTTCAAGTATATACTAATGATGGATAGTGGCTACCAGTGGAATCCAGCGTAACGGGTGTTTCATCCAGTTCTGGTCTCGTCAGCTGGATGTACCTGTCTCCCACTGAGCAATGTTGTCCTCACCAAGACTCGAACTCAAGACTAATAGCTTCAAACGTCAGAGCGTTATCCACTAGACCATCGAGCCACGATAGCCACTTCTTATTTATTGCTTGTATTATCCGGTCAATTACATCCATCACTAATATATCATCCAAAGACAGACAATATCGAGGCATCCACCCACGAGCCCATGTGCCAATAGAGACCGACCGATTCGGTCCACTAAACGACGGGATAATACAAGCAACAACATCGAAACTATACCCGTCGCACGAATAGTGGCTATCTTGACTGGCATTTGAATCGAATGGCCCTGAGTTCGAGTCATAGTGGGAACAACATGGCTCACTGGGAAACAGGTACAGTGGGCCGACGAGTTCGGGATAAGACAAAACACGCGTCCTGGACTCCACTGATAGCCAGCATCCATCATTAATATGTTCTACACCATTGTTTATCTCTTGCATTCTTCTGCTTCGAAATATTGGTAGAAAGACTACAGGTGAAGTGAAATGCACTGCACTGAACAGTGGAAAACCAAATTAACGATGAAATTTTATTTCGTATAAATAATACAACTTAACAACACCATTCACCTCTGTGTTCTAGGTTATGCACTATATTTAATGTCAGACAGACAAATCCATATAGGGAACCTGGCATACACTTGGCGGCCTGCTTAAATTCTGGGCTACCAAAAATATTTTACTAAATTGCTTCTTCACTACTTGTTTCAACCATTCAAACGTCAACAAATCGTAAAACATAGTATCGCGTACTCTTAAAATATCTTCAACCTACCGTCAGACACGTTAATCACAAAAATACCATGGTGGACGACAGTTGGCCCGTGAATGCACAACAGTACATCATATAGCTGTTATAGGGAAACGTAACTGGAACAGCAAAAATTTTCATGTTGGATGAATGAACCTCCACCATCAAACCTACGTGCGCTTTTCTATCCAACCCACCAGCAACAACATACAAACTAGATGATGACATCAAAACTACTGGTGGTTGTTGTGCATTATTGTCTACTTAACTGTCATGCATTTTCTAATTTGAAGATGTTGTACAAGAAGTATATTTGTTGAAATATTACACTGAGAATTCCAAACTGTAATATAAGTTATTATTTGGAATAAAGTAATTGTTATTATTTTTGTTAAGTTAATCGGTTCCAGTAGTTACACTCCACCTCCACAGCAGTATGCAGCGAACAAGTGGTTAGAAAAAGAGTGACAAAAGTGTATGAGACAGGAAACACAATCAATAGATGAATGTAGATGAAAATAACCAAGACCTTGCAATCAATGATTCCTGTTGTTTTTAGGAATCCAATCAGATAGGCAGTCTACATCTCTGTATGCAACGCAGAGTGACAACATTCGCTCTGTGACTGCCATCTCAAATACACTCACCAGAATATACGCTAACCGAGTCGGCGTCAACTTCACAGCAATTGCCTATATTGTATTTGAATTCTTCATAAGTATTTTTCTTCATACTCATATCTGTTCGCCCTTGCTTTGTAATGATGACTTCAACGAGAAATGAATCACATAGTGAGTGAACTTGTAGACGAGGTATGAAACACATTACCCTTGGAACACTAAATAAAATTACGTTAAGTATGATATATAGCGTCGGTTAGTACAAGACTGTAACCTCAAAATGTAGAATAACTTTAAAAGCCAGTTTGACTACGGCTGAACTAACCAATCAGATTTCAGTATGTTTCGACTGGGAAGGTAGTTTTTTGGAATAAAATAGAGAAAAGTGATTAGTTGTCTCAGTAGTTGTTAGAGCGGCCTTTAAAGTCACTCAGAATGTAAGCAGGTACAGAAAACTAATAAGCCAGTTGGAAACTAGGACCCAACATTCACACTTACTGTAGCAATAAATAGAATAAAAAAACCCATTTGAAAATATACTGGAATGTGAAATGTGACCGGGTGACGCCCCTTTTTTAGTTATGAACATAAAAGTTGAGTAGAAACTTACAATAAGGCAGAAGGAAAAGCAAGATAATAAGTTATTCTTAGATTGTGAATATTCTTTCTCTTTTAAATTCACAACCTACCTAGTCAAGAGGAAACATCGACAACAACAACACAGGAAGAGATGAGTGTTGAGTAGAGAGAGAGGGGGTGAGAGGGAGAGTAGGAAAGTAAATAAAAAATTGGGTGTGATAGTGATGAAAGGTATTTGGGAAGGGAATGCTCTCCTTGAATTTTAAAAGACAGTTATTTTGAAAACGTGAAGAGCACAGAGAATGCACAGGAAGGATAGCAATTGTATAACCTAAACAACAACAACAAACAGCAAAAGTTGAAAGACATCACAATTAACGAAGATTTGATAATTGATGTAAACTTGACTACTTTGTTATATATCGCTATAGGAGATAGAGGTTTACAGTTAGTTGTTTATTACAATCAGGCATTCTATTCAATATGCACAGAAAATACAGAGGTGGAAAGTGTAAACCAAAAAGCATCTTCTGAACGGACAACTACATTTTCACCTATGGCAAACTGCACAGCAGCATACAAAGAGCATGCATATTAAACACGAAGCAGTGGGTAAATGAAAAGCAGAATAACAAAATTATCGATGACATTGTGAAGAGAAGGCACAAACAGCAGTGTCTATATAATCGATTCTTAAATATATCATCTAGTCTCTGAGACGAAACCATACAATCACAGTGAAACAAGATTTAGATTGAATTTATAGGAACTGAGAAAAAAATGATGAGTAAACTGGTTAAACTTAAGTGAATTAAATGTTTAAATCCTCTATGGACCAACACTAAGTAAAACTTTATTTCGAAGATGAGCGCTTTGTTAACAAGCAACAAATCAATAAATATCATAATCGAGCTGAGAACCAATGGTTCTAGAAAAAATTTGGGCATTGTGGAATACAAATATCAAAACTCAGTTTGAAGGTTTTTAGAGATTCATTTATTGATTTCTGGGTGATATTCATCGCGGAATGACATCACCTGGAGGGCCACTGAAAATCTGGGGACACTGGACAGCTGTTTCGTTCTAGTATGGTACTCAACAGTTGCACTCACGATCCGCTGGGGATGGAAACCAGGTTTCGCAGCGACCACGTAATCATTTAGCTGTTGGGTTGCAGTCGAACGGTTCACAATTTTCAGCTTTTCTTGATTCGCGACACAACGCGACCATCATCCATTGCTATCGTTGAGTATTTGTCCTGATGTCCAACTTGGTTCGCCCCACTAGCAGCGACTTGTCAAAAGAACTTAAAGAAATCTCACCTCGAAGTGGTTCACTACTGAGAACCGAACAGTGATTCAGTGTGGACTGACATCACCTGGAGAACGGCTGACAACCTGAGATTGCTGAACAGCTGTTTTATCTTAGTTTGAAACTCTTCAGAAGTAGTCACAAACACTCCTTTGAAGGATTCAGCCCAGGAGTATAGAGTCTTGCAACGAGCACATTGCCACTCAACAACTAGGTCAAAATCCAATGGTACACTGATTCCTACTCCTGTCAATTCTCTATATCCAATGTCATCGGTGGGCATCCACCTACTTCCTGGCTTACTTGTTCTTCCAAGGCATGACTTCTCACTAGAGACTCGAGAAATCTTTCTAAAAGTAAGTCATAAATCAGCAGTGGACATTTATTCAATTGTTGGTTTTTATATGAAAGTTACTTGAAAATTACAAACTAAAAAAAAACAGAAAACAATCAGACACTATGTAGTTGCATAACAAAGTTAACCAAGAAAACCTCCACTACGATAGTATAAGTGTCCATGATGGTTTCAATAAGGGTAAACAGATGTAAATAGAAAAAAGATATCAACATCAATACACTCCTACTCACTTGATTGATCATCAGTTGTATCCGCATCAAAAATTTTATTATCGAACCACATATGCGCTATGGTCATACGATTCTGCGTCAGCGTACCAGTTTTATCTGAACATATAGTACTTGTTGAACCGAGAGTTTCAACAGCTTCCAAATTTTTCACTAAGCAGTTTTTACTAGCCATCCGTTTAGCAGTCAGTGTTAGACATACCTAGAGGAAGAATGAAAACAGGTGATAGATTACTTAACTATTCAATAAATAAAAAAACATCATAGAACAGGATTGATCGAGAACGGTGGATTCCTCGACAAGGATAACACAAGAATGCGAAACCACCTTCAGTCCAAGTGAAGAGAAGGTTTAAAAAGAGTTTCACTGAAGTGTAAGTGCAAATATGAAGAAGTTCAATAAGTGCTGATTAGCTGCTGTTGTTTATGTCATATGTAAACACTCAGTAGAACAGTAAAACAACATTCGATTAGAAACTATGCTATTGTGCGACAAAACCTTCTTGAAATGAAGATATAAGGTTTTCAATTTGTAAAGTAACAAACTAGGACACTTAGGCATAAGATTCTAATACAAAGATGTTGGTTACTCTCAATAACAGTGTTAGCAGGACAAGCAAAGTGTTTCTCGGAATATGAATATCATAAAGGTAGTTGATAAACCTTGGAAAAAATTGGGCATTGGGTCAAAATGATATTCATTATTTTTGGTATTTGTATTTCCCAATGAGAATGTAAAAACTAAATTCATTTCAATTGACGTTTCGCTATTCAGTACTAATAGCTTTATCAAAGTTATAGTAAATGGGAATTTACAATATCCACCAAGCTTATATATGATAACTTGATAATTGCTTTTCTATTTAGTTGATTCTGCGTTGTCAGAATTGTAGAATGAAGATGATATCCATATGTAGTGTGTTGTGTGTGAATTGTCGCGTGTAGATCAGCATGTAACTGATCCAATAGAACTGAAAAGAATTGAAAACACCAGCCATAACTCTACATGGTATAATTTCGGGTCAAAAGATCGGCTCACTGACAATGTCGAGATTATTCAGAAAGGTTTTGGAAATTATAAAGAACATCTCATACCGGAATCTCTTCACATTAGATGGAATGAAAATTTTCTAAATAGGAATGAGGGAGTAAAATGTAGTTTGACCTGGTCTCAACCCAACCCCACATACTGACAACCAACATACATGTGATAAGAGCTATCAACAAATGTATACATACAAATCTCAATCTGTGATTCACACACAACACACTACATATGGATATCATCTTCATTCTACAATTCTGACAACGCAGAATCAACTAAATAGAAAAGCATTTATCAAGTTATCATATATAAGCTTAGGTGATATTGTAAATTCCCATTTACTATAACTTTGATAAAGCTATTAGCACTAGGCAACTGATAAAAGTTACAAATCACCAGGATTATTTTCTCCCCTTAGTGAAATATTTCTACAAAGAGGGAACTATAGCTACGACAAAACAGAAAAATCAAGGCGGAGAAGAGAAGAAATTCGACACCTTATATCCTTTTCAGTAGGGGAGAACAGATGATTGCATATTCTCTTTCTTTCTCTCAACTGTACTACTCACGTGTTGATTTTTCGATGAAATAAAAATTATCCAAATATTGATATTTGGTTGGATGTAATCGACAGGAAGCTCTGGTTAACCTAGGTTTTTTGTTTGCCGGCATTCATCAACAAGGTGAATTCACAGCTTCAAGGAGACTGATACTCTTCCAGAGAACCGAACTTGCACCAACCAGTGCTGTAATCAGAGATCTTACCAACGGACTATCCGGACCCGAAAGCAAACAATCTGCATCGAAATGCCAAGTTTCCTAGCTTGGGGGACTACATTGACCATAAAAACAAATATTTTAATGACGTTACAAGCATGTTTGCCTATGAAGGATCAATATAAGACATCATCAATCTGCTGTATTCTAGTGCGAGATTATGACATATATGGAAGATGAAGAAGTAAAAACATTGTGGGTGTGTAATAACCGGTAATGTCAATGTATTGCCAAGGTGAAATTAACAATTCTAGCTGATCAGATTTCGGATCTTCATAGACTATGATAGTTGGGATGTGTTAAGTATATCTACTTAAAGTTTACTTCGTAGTGTAAAATTGACTACAGAAGATTGAATAAACCTTTGAAGTGCTTGATCAAGGCATAATATCAACTCACGAAATAAAGGCTTTTAGGCAAGATTTCTAGCGATAGCTGAATTTGATGTCTAATAAATGCAGATCCACAGGCACTCATGCTTTATCTGATGTTATCTAGTCGTAAATGCAGACCGAATTCTAACGATCAAGTTTGCAGTGTGGTCACCAAACTAGAAGACTCAGCATCGTGGTAAACGTCAGAAATAATGTTATGCGGTTGGAGGGAATCGTCAGGATCCCTGGTGGAGTCATGTATGTCGCACTGTTGAGGAGTCTCACACTAGGACGAAACAGCTGTCCAGTGCCCCCAGGTTTCCTATGCTCCTCCAACTGATGTCAGTCAATGATGAATACCAACTTGAAAAATCGTCAGGAAGCTCTGGATCTAGGTTTTGCGCTTATTAATGAATGTTAAACAGTAGAAAACCTAAAGGTCAAGTGAGGTATCCTAACCAACTACCTCTAATCATCGAATAACCAAGGATTTGTAATGACTGACCACTACTAGATGATATTGAAAGCACACTGCAATTGTGGATTTGGCATAGTATGACAAAGGAAATCACCTTGCATTTGAGAATTTTGCGTGATTTTAAACATATAAAAGAAGAATAACCAGTAGTAAATGTAAGAATGTAAGCAGTCACCCTGTATAAAAAGGCAAACAAAGTGTTTTTTTTACTGTATAATAAAATTATCAAAATTGATATTGTTCATAGTGGAGGTAAGGAGGGTTAAGTAAATCAAAAACAACACTATACATGAATAACCACCTCACCGAATTATTTATATTATTCATAAAATATCGATGGGTTACATGCTTGTGAAATGAAATAACCACAACAAGACTGAATACTTTCTTTTTCAAAAGGACCCTGAAAAGCTAATGTTATGCAAGCAACAAAGAAAGATGCATACATTAGTTGGCATGACAACTTGCTTTTTTTCTCACCTGTTCATACACACAAATACAGACATACACTTATTGGTCTCAATTTTTATTCCGTTTAAAAAAGTGAGAAAAAAAACCATTGAATCTTTCGAAATTTTCATTTACTAGCAGGTCTAAGATACCAGAGGTTTTCAATCCATGTGACATTGAATAGTACGATATTTGTCAAAACCTCTCATTCCTGTTTGAAATATGAAGTGGACTTTATGAGTATGAATGGTGAAAGATATCGCTGTTTAATAATTAAATCCGGACATATTATTTGAAACCATTAAACTGCTTAGGATGCACTTTTCATATCACTTAGGAATGATTTATTACTCCACGAATGGGTCTGCATTAATATATGTCGTCTGAAAGTTGAGTGAAGTCAGTACTTTGACCACTTCACTTACCTAAAAAGCTTTAACGAGTAAGTAACCGACGAAATCACGGCATCGATACACGAGGCTAAATTGGCTTTAGCCAACTTATGACACCGGTTAGACAGACAAATGTAAGTTAAGAGTCAAGTATACTTCAAAGAAGTTTGCTCCATTTTACTATTTGGCCGTAAAATATGGCCAATAAAGTAAAAAACGTACAAAGACTTCTAGTTTTCGATCACCTCTGGCTTAGTACTATTAATCTTTTGCAGCAAAACCACCACATTCATAAAGTAGAAGCTAGATTTGGGCTTAGGTAAAAGTGGTAAGTAGCTTCATGAGACTGTAAGCCTTCATTGATTAAGGTGTTTTGTATACCTAGTCACCATCCGCCTCATTGCACAATCTTAGGTGAAGCAGGTTAAGGCTGAAAAAAGATTGAAGTCCACAAGACTAAAGAATGACACCCGTCCCCAAAGTGTCCAACTGTTGATCTGAGCCACGTAGGCAAATATAAATTTGTCATTTTGACTTCTTGAGATAGGCGTCATTTGGTCGACTTGTATTGGGTGATGACTGAAGGGGAACAAAAAATTTGGCCCACCGCCGGATTCGAACCAGTGGCCACAATGGGTAGAGCAATGGACCAGTAACCCGGTGGTCACTGCTTCAAATCCGGCCGCAGTCCAAATTTTCACTTCACCTTCAATTGTGACCCAGTATCAATACTAGTCTGACAAACCACGGAATCTTAGATAGTCAAAATGATAATCAATGTGATGCTCCTCCTCTCTAATTCGGTTGGATTTGGATTGGAATGAGAAGTCCTAACTAGGCAGCCAGTGTGAGTTCGATCAAGCGATGGTAACGCGTCACGAACTCATATGGTAGTTGGTCAAAACCCTTGGTGATTGAAGTGAAATAAAAATCTGGTCAGCAGTCGGACCTCGTAGTTCAGTTGGCAGAGCACCGGGTCAGAAACTCAGTGGCTGCTGGTTCCAATTCGGCTGCGTTCCAAATTTTCATTGCACTTTAAATATAAACTTCCCAATAGGGTAAGGGACCTTTGTCAGTACCATTCATAATTGATTCCAGTGGCGCATAGATGAACTCATACATTATCTTCATCGTTCTACTGCAGTTCATTGTCGTCTTAACTCCTCACCCATCTTTCATATGACCCTCTGCGATGGGGAACTTAACATGGAATCCAGAGTTTTAATCATGGGAAAAAAAGTAGAAATAAGTCATATATTCCGTGATAATCGGTAAACATTGTACACATGTAGTCCTAGAATTTTTATATTCAGCATGATTTCAGTATCGAAGTTAAGATCAAATGCTAGCTAGCATACTGTTCAACTACACTTAATGAGTGCCCAACTGTTAACACACAACCATCAGTGATTCATTATTGACACGATCAATACACTATTTCAAAGTCTTCAGGTCTGTAAGGAAACAAAAGAGCCAAGAATACAATTTGTTAAGATGCTCAAACCTTATTGCCTCATACTATCGAATTTGGAGTGATGCGTTCAAGGTTATCGTTCAGTATGAATCAGTTCTTTCAAACAACTAAGTTGACTGAAATTATTCTATTTCAGAAAGCAATTGGATTATCATCCAAATCCATCATACTCAGCAATCTTGTGCATATTCGTGTAGTAGGTGGCAGGCAATGAACCACGCCCATTGCACAATAGCATATATGGCTGCTGAAATGTAAGTAGAGTCGGATTTGAACCCATGACGCATCGATTGGAAAGTCAAGTACCTTGACTGGTGAGTTACAGCTCCACTTGAATTATGATGAAGAAGAGGAACTATATTAGTCATGATTTGATATCAGAAAATAACAAATGATAGGAATAAACACACAGTCGGTTAGAACCAATACCCTGACCGACACATCCAACACACTCTCTGTCTTTTAAAATTGCATCTCTATATTTTAGAAAGGTGAAATTCAGATGCGATAAGTTTTCCAAAGAAAGAAAAACTCCACGTTTAACGCTCCTACGGTGATCTCTATAAGGGTATCGTATAGTGGTACATCATCGTTTACTAGATAAGGTTTCGAACACAATCTATTATCCATAGTTATATCCAGGTATATATATATATATATATATATATATATATATATATATATATATATATATATATATATATATATCACAATATGATTCCACGCTTGTTACTTAAAATTAATGTTTCTAACGATCAAATGTTTTTACCAGTTCACTGTTTGAATTCAACACGTTGGTCCGCTGAATGGCTTGCATTATGGACGTTTTTATCGATCAAACGAATTTTTACGCTGAAATCTAAGCTAATCTTGAAGAAACAGAGAAAAACGTATCTTAAGATACATGTAAGTACACCAACATAAAGGGTTCAACTCCATGTATGATGGAACTAGAAGTCAGATCAGTTTTCGAATAACTATACTTCAGAATTTAATCAAAAGTAATGATTTGACCTATATGCCAAGAAATTTGATGTAATACCCGATCGACATCATCTTAGGTTGACTATGTAACATATCTTTTTGCACAGTAATTTGTATGCATATGTGTGTGTGTGTGTGCATGTGATTGATATTGCCAGGATACAAACAAAATGCTGCACTTGGTGTTATTTATAGTTTAACTGTCATCCTCATCAGCATCAGCAGCAACAACCGGTACAACAGAATTAAAGAAAAGAAATCGAAATCCGCACAAGCTATACAGACAATAACCTTAGTGATAAATACAAAGAGAGATGGATAGTGGAGTACAACACAATGAATAGAAGAATCGATAAATAAAGGCGATACACACAAATAACAAGAGTTTGCCTGTGGAACAATGAGGTGAACGCCAAACGTTTGCACTATAATCAACATGATTATTATTATTAAGGATATGGTCAAATTGATCATGGTTAAACACGTTTTTCTGGTTAGGACAAAAAGGCTACAAATTACCATCTGATCTTGATTCGGTTATATATCTAAAAATGAATAATTTCATTTATTTATCATAATTGGATTGCATTATAACTATGCTTAAATTTGTGAAATGGTTGAACGCCATCAATTGCTTAACACATGGAATAATAAATTATAACAACAGTGAATAAATAGTATTGCAGAGCAAAATAACTTTTATCACTGAACTACTACTACTGAATAATATGAGTAGTTAAGTGCTGCTGACAAGACCCGGTAGTTATTTCTTCTTTTCAAGTCAATATATATTAAATCGAAGAGTGAGAAAACAAATACGACAATTAAGATAAGCAGGGGATTAAAATTAAGAAAGATGAGAACAAACAAGAAGTGACATAGTTAATGATGGATCGTGGCTAGCAGCGGAATCCAGGATGCGCAGTTCATCCTATTTGGGACTCGTCAGCTGTATGTACCTGCTTCCTAGTGAGTGATTTTGTCCCTACCGGGATTCGAACTCGTAAACGATCGCTTCAAACGCCAGCGTGTTCCTATACATAACGTGGTTTAAATGTGTGTATGGCTGTTGCTTCCGCGAATCTCAGTATACATCCCTGACTGTTTCTATATAAAACTTTGGAATCTGTTTGAACATTAATTTTGTGATCTGTTTCTATGATATGTTTGACTGTTGATGAAGAGGGTTGTCTCCTACCAGCGTTTATCAGAGTTTCACACCACTTGTTTTTGAAACCACTTAGGTACACGTTCTCTCACCTCAACTGTATAACTCGATCACGCCTCCCTATGTATGTGCGACTACAGCACACACACGCATCTAAACTGGTAGACATAATGGGACGTGACGCAATCATTGATGCAGTGTTTAGGTTTCTTTCCTTGTAAGATAACTCCGCAGTGACTTCTGTTCATCTCGATAACCAAATGATCTACTCAAAGCCCCAAAAGAATGAAATCTACTCATCATCATCCATATATCTGGTACATCGGAAACCCTGTTGTGACAACATTTCAACTAAGCACAAACTACTAGTTTTCGTTTTCAAATGTTCATTCCGTAAACTGACGAAATTATCAACTTTTAAAACATTAATTGATTACTTGTTAAAGTTACTTTTTTTTAAAGAAAAGAAGCGAAAATTATTAAGAAATCAATTATGAAATAGTGTACAGTGTCTGCAGAAATCAAGTATAGATTACTACTATTCTACTATTCTACTACTATTCTTCAAATCACTAATTACAACCAATAAAGAGGTCATTGAATGTGCCAGTCAGCTGACACATCTGACACACTCTACGTGCTATTTCTACCTAACTGGTGTTCAAAATGAAGCCTAGTTGGAAAGTAAGGTTTATGAAAGCTTTGGAAATAAGTTTATTTTTTCTTCAGTTTGACAACAGAACCACGAATACTGATATACATTTATCAGTATTAGATAAACAAGTCTGCATGTCTGCGATCAGTATGAATCCTGAGTTAATTTGTTTCACACTGAAGATGATAGAAAACGACAAGCTTTGAAAAACTATAACCTGTAGCATAAAATGGTAGTTTGCTTGCTATCAAGTTCACTAAATGAATTTATTTGGAAAAAAATCGAAATTAATTTGAAGGCTTGTGGGATTTTATTGATTTGAGGTTGTTATTCATCATAGACTGACCATCAGTTGAAGAAACACTGGAAATCTCGGAGCATTGGAAAGCTGTTTAGTTCTAGTGTGGGACTCCTCACCAGTACGCATCCATGACCCTGTTGGGGATCGAACCCAGGACCTTCAGGTGAGGAGGGGTGAGTCCCGAAGTTCCTATGAGTCGTGACTAGTAGTGGGCTAACCAAGTCTAACATGAAAACGGGTACTCAATGATGGACATCGGATGGACGTCGCGCTATATCGTGAGCTGACAGAGGTAAAAAAAAAATGTGGATCAATGAATTCCTACCCAGTGGCTCAATGGTAACGTGCTGGACATGGAACTGGAAGGTCCTGCGTTCGATCCGTAGTGGTGTCATTAGTGCGCACTGTTGAGAAGTTAAATACTAGCACGAAATAGCTGTCCAGCGCTCTCAGGTTTTTAATGTTCCTTCAACTGTCAGTCCATGATGAATACCAATGTGAAAAACAGCAAAGTTTGAGTACAGGCTTGAATAAACAATTCATTGAATGGGAATCCTTTTGCCTAAAGCAATAAGCCTAAATTGAGTCAAGAAAATCTGATTAGAACTACTTGCTCAGTTACAAGTCACTAATTCTCTATGACTGAAATGAAACTAAAACCTCGTTGGTAGCTTGGTTTCATATTTCAATTATTAGAGAATTAGGATCAGTTATCCGAAAATCCTTTCGAAGAATAGGCCGGCAACGAAATCTACCTCACATGATCTGGCTGACCAAGTCAAAATTATTCCCACATCTAATTTCATTTCCTTATCTATAGAAGCTAACAAAAGAGAGCTTACGCTTTTTCGTGATGAATTTGCAGAAATTAGTGAGAAATCAATAGTTAAGAGGTCACCTGCTAGATAAAATGAAAACCGAATTACATCACATATTGATTATCGATACAACAAACAATTCATGCAGAGTAACCCTCACCAGATGATATCGGGTAGGAGGTAGATAGTTACACAAATCACAATAATCCTAGTCACCATATAGCAGTTTTCGTACTGTATTCCATATAAACCAGATTGTTCCCCTTAAATATTGACTACTTTCCATACTCTTTTGTGAAAAATCTATCCCCTAGTATATGCAAACTTAGTATAGGCGTTAACTAAACGTCAAAGTTTTAAACTCATCTGGAAACATCACAGTACAAGGTGATTTCTGTCGAAAAGATAAGTAAAATCATTCAATATGTTTTCAGTGGCGTATTGACAGCCTACATGTGTCTGTGGAGGCTTATGAGATAAAGGAAATACAATTTACATTTAAAAACTTGGAACTGTGGTTCACTATGGGTCTAGATGGTCAACTTTCAGTTAATGGATCACGGACAATAACTCTCACCCTGCTAAAATCTGAACAGGCACGTAGATTTCCAAGCCCTGTCACGATAGGTGCGGCTCAGTGCACAGTGCACCAACCTGCGCATGGTCATTGACTTACATTTTTATATTTCACACTTAGAAACGAATCGCAAATCACACACAGGTATTCTATCTATACGGAACAGGGAACTCCTGGTTGATAAAGACTTTGTCATTTTACAATTATGAACGATCAAAAAACGACAGCCAACCACACAAACAACCAGCAATTACTTACCGTCACAGTAGCCAATAGACCTTCAGGAACATTTGCCACAATAATACCAATCAGAAAGATGACAGCTTCCAGCCAATGATAGCCCAAAATGAAAGCGATAACAAAAAATGAAACACCAAGAAATACTGCAACACTTGTAATCAGGTGGATAAAATGACTGATCTCTTTGTTAATCGGAGTTTGACCAATTTGCAGACCCGAGGCTAAATTTGCAATACGACCCATAACAGTACGATCACCAGTACTCACAACTATCCCACGACAAGCACCTAGAAATTAAGCAACGTTTAGTGAAGTAACTCATATGTGGCAATGCCTATTCGTGAGGTGAAAAATGTTGATGACCTTATTGAAATAAAATTTACAGGAACTAAACACGGAATAGGAACACTAAGTAATCAAATTTATGTGTAACTCATTTCATTTGCTGCCTCACAGTAGAAAAAAGGGCTGAATAAAATGACCAATTTAAACAGATATACAAGGACAAGTAGCTTACAATTTTGTATACCATCCATAACTATAGCACAAAGCGTTTTGGTAAAACAGACAGTTGAGTATGCTTGGATGAATCTTTTTGATGATGAACCGCGACTGAACACAACCGAAATGGTTGCACATGTTGCTGGCTACTCGAATTCTAATGGAATTCAGACAGATAAACACTTCGTTACGAAATCCAAAACGGTACACGTCAATACCAGCCACATTCAACATCATTTCGACATTCCCCAAGCTTGACAAGTTCGGGTGGACAAATGCTTTGGTGCACAAAGTTCTCCCAAACAATAACGATGCATAACTGTTACCTTTCAACGATATCAAAGGGAAACGGGATAAATGATTTGAAATTCCCTCCTGAGCACTCTGTTTGACAGTACTGATATTTATTTGAATATTATGCTTTTAGCCCTAACCGATGTAATATTATTTTGTCATTTGCCTGTCTTCTATGATTTAACGCATTATTTGTCTTTCTTTCGATTGAGACATCATTAATGCTTTACTTTGCTATTGTGTGATGTTGATCTGTTGACAATATGGCATTGTTTTACTGTTCCTGACATTTTGTTTTGGCTCAACTTAAGGTTGCGCTGTGAATTGCTGTTTGTCTTTTGACTGTCTACTGGAAACGTTTATTGATTGATTTGATTCTTGTAGACAGAGTTTTGATCCCATTTTGTTGGGAATATTTTTACTGACTTTCAGGTATTTAACAATTGTATTTGGTTAATCAATTTTTGGCTGTATAGTAGGTATTCCGTACCAGAAAAAACTTTTGGACTGTTATCCAGTGGCATTGTTGATGTACTTTTGTAATTTTGATAGATAGTACCGTAGATTTACCACATGAGATCGTGTTTTGATACTGTTCAAACATAATCTTTGACTCTGCGTGACTCAAGGAAGTTTGGGAAACTATACAGTAGAACGCAGTAACTTGTCTGGATTACGTTAGCTTGGTCCCGTTGAATTGTTTCCTGCGTTCAGACCAAACTACTTGGATTTGGTCTTTACACAAAGATCTATACGCAATAACGAGAATGTTTGCACTTGATAAGAGAACCATACCTGCTATGCTGAGTTTCATTAGTAGAGACATTTGTTCTACACATGAAGCTATCTAAGAAGACCGGTCAAGGTTTCATTTATATACGTTCTCTACTGAACGTTGCTCACCAACGTTGAGATTAACTGGGATTACCTAGCGTATGGCACATTTCTTGATTTCCACATCATACCAAATTCTCACTCCAAATAGTACAGTCGATGATCAGAATAAAAATAAAGAGAATCATCTAGGTTGAATAAATAACGAATTTGTCTACTATACTGTAAAGTACACATCGAATCATTTGAGTCTGATGCTCAAAAAATTTGACATCTTTTGACAGCATACCTGGAGAACTTTCAATTAGGTTCCACACTAAACGTACTAAATGTTGCAATATGACAAGAGACACAGCTCTCTGACCTCATATTCTGACAAGGTTTCATTTCCTTTTATCATCATATATCCTTTTTTCTGTCTTCTTCTGCTTTCCGTCATCAGATTTTTTTCATGTAAAGAAATTTAGTAGAGCTTCATTAGGGCTAAACGATGCATAACTGAAACAGTCTGTGTCTTATCATGAATGTAGATATGCTCTACTGATGAGCATCAATAAATGCGAAGCTTTAATCCAGTCGTCTATTGCATGAATTTCTTTTATACATCAAAACAGTACCCAAAAAGCATACCACAAGGTATGCTATAGCCTAACCTTTAGTATCATAGATGGTACTTCGGTTGACTAAATAACCGCATACAACTATAGTAAATAAAATCAAAGGCTCAGCTTTGATAAGTTGTGAAGCCTACTTTATGGATACATGAGTATTTCAAGTTTCCTCATAAAACATGCAGTAGTGATATGCTAACTTAGACATATTTTTGGTAAGTTGGCATTCTTATTTGCTGATACTTGTAATTTTTGACTGTTATACTGAATCGAATTGGCCAACCTCTATTGGCATATGGACCCCTTTATGAGGATGCCTCGGTATCACCTGAATAGTCATTGTTATAATTTACTTGATGGCAAGTAGCAATGGGATCTATGATGTGCGTTTCATCCCATTTGGAATCAATAAAATAGAATTTATTAATCAAACTGTGTAATTTAGTCAACGAAGTCAAAACACACTCAGCAATCATGTGCACGTACGTGGAGTAGACAATGAGTTACACCTATTTTTTGTAGGCTAATGATACTGTCTTGAACGCTTATCTTTTTTTCAAAGTTTTCAATATAACAGATGAGAGTTGATGAAGATGAAAAAGAGAGAAAAATGGCTTCATAATGTTTAGATAACCGTTGCTTTCCAACTGGATATGATCACTTTATGTATTAATCATCAATGAGTCGCCTTTCTGAAGTTAATCATACGAAGTTACACAAATTTTAATCCACCCGCTATTTTATTTAAACAGACAGAGGTTATAAAGGCGCGTATACCTCAGCTATTTATGCATGGATCCATCAATCCACTGTTAGGTCAGAACATCAAGAAGATTGTACAAGTCAGTTATATGATGAATAAACATTTCAATGTACGATATCATGTAGATTTCATGCAAACACACCTTCATGGATACTCTGAATCATCTAATCACCAGAATTTAATGATGAGTAAGATGTAAACCATTTATCTGACTACCACTGGTATACCCAAGGGGTTTCATCTACTCACATTTGGACAGTCATCAGGTAGTATAATTTAGCCTTCATACAATGAGTGTGGCCTCATTGCCTAGGGCAAGGTATTCTAAATCTCTATAAATACAATTCATCCTTAAAGCAAGTCGAAATATAAAGAAAGAACGTGGAATATGTAAGAAATCAACATCTTAACATATATAATTAATTGTAACGACAATCAATTGAACTGATGTAGAAGAACTGAGTTGGTGTTTTGCTGGTAATTTCACAACCTTTTTTTCAATAAACACACACAAACGTTTGTCTCCAAGCAACTATTTTAAAGTGTAGGTCATACAGATAGAAAAAAGTAACTCTACTTTATCCTGGAAAATAAATGTTGATGTGACTATCCAAGGAAAACTTGGGTAACATCAGAAGTCGAACCAGCAAGTACGCTGTGAATCCAAGCAACTGATGAGGTTATAATGTGATATGTAATTCAAGTGGCTGAATATAGTCCATTCGTTCAATGATTGTTTATTTGTGATCAGAAATTTTCGGCTGTCATTAAAGATTGTTGGAAGGAACTTCACGATGTTTATGTGACCGAATAAAGGTTGAACTATAAAATCACTGACATTTCAAATGATCAGTATGCCATGTTGTCAACTATCTGATTTTCGTTCACCAGACACCATAAATCGATGGATGAAAGGATCAATTAAGTAGGATTGGTTAGAATAGATGTCAACGAAACAGATGAATCAGTCTTTACATTACCTACTCACAATACTTTTTACAGCATCTATTTAAAAATGTTACTGTTGATAGACGTTGTAAGTATAAGTGGGGTCCAAGTTTCTTCAGATCCAACTTTTGCTTAGTTGTTTGAAAAAGTAAAACGTTAAAAACATGAAATACTTGACAACTGACAAATTCAGCATTTTGCAAAAGAAAAAAATATCCTAATCCCACTAATAAGCACGGTTCTGCTTCAAATTTCTGTTATGAAAATTGTAATTTCTCAATGCTATGCAAGGCCGAATTGCGCAACCTCTGTTGACAGATGGACTCCTATGTGGATGCCTCGGTACTATTGGATACTCATGATGTTATATTGATCTTGGTGATTAGCAGAGGAATCCAGGATGCGCGCTTCGTCCTGTTTGGGACTCGTCAGCTGGATGCACCTGAACCCCAGTGAGAGATATTGTCCGCACTGAGGCTCAAAACCAGTACCCATTGTTTCAAACTCCAGAGCATTGCCCACTAGGCCAATGAAGCACGATAGTCACCCGTTATGCAATGGCGTATCATTACATTTTTCCAGTTCAAAACAGATAAAACCTATGTTCATTTAGTTTACAGCTCAGACTATAGTAAAGGTGGATAGCGGCTAGCAGTGGAGTCCAGGATGCGCATTTCGTCCTACTTATGACTCGTCAGCTGGGTGTACCTGCATGTACCTGAATGCACAAGCAATTATACTATAGCTCAGATGCCTAAGAAAATCACTTACCATCAACAGCATTCGTTGAGAAAAAGGCTAAGTTCTTTGTTTCCAACGGGTTTTCATTTGTATATTCAGCTGTACGTGACTGAGGTTCAGATTCACCAGTCAATGCTGAATTATCCACCTTGTTTTAAAAAGGGAATTGCAAAAGGGGTAGACAACAGATTATACACTAATGGGCTGAATGAATCGATATTCAAACACTAATGACGATGATGATGATAGTAGAAATAATCAATGCTTAGCCAGTTACATGAGTTGGGTGATGCCTAATAATACTATCCAACCGCCCACAAATCCATTTAGATAGCGTGCAGTTGAACTCATGACCTATGAAGTGGAAATTATTTCGACCATTGAACTACAACAGAAAGCAGTGAGAAGTCCGACCGACGTGTTAATCTTGAGATTTGTGTCCATTACTGTATCGATAATCTATCTGACCTTTTAGTTGACATATTACCCTCTACTTATAGGAAAGTCGCTTGGAACCAACAATCTAACTGAATCCTCTACCACTTGAAATTAATCCTCTTTTCTAAGCATTTTGTTCATGTTTATCCTTTAAGACTCTTTTAATGGATAGATAGGATGTAAAAATCCTTCTAATCAGGTCACTTCTAACACGAAAACTCAATTATTTCCTGAAGTATTACAACGTAGAAAAATAGGTATAACTATTTTTGCATAAGAGGTTTATTGGACCATAGCATAACACTGACTACTTCTAAGGAAACCATTTCCCCATTTGTCTTAAGCATATATTCGCTTTCTCTTTCACTAACGACTTTTATCAATCAGTTGTTTGTTTTTTACTTGCTCAAAAAAACTATTTTCTAGAGTGAATAGGAATCAAGCAAAATAACGAAGAAAAGTTTTAGGTGAACGGCATGGTAAAATGCTAGACAAGCGCTTCGTCATCGCTCTAACTTCCACTTCCTTTCTCACTTTTTTTTTCCAAATAATTAAAATTTTGCTTTGAAAGTCGAAATCCACTCGGAAAAGTTGCACACAGCCATGCAGTAAGCGGTAATGAGCCAAACCTATTGTGTGTGGGGGCTAGTGAAACTACCTGGCTTCCGAATCTCGGTAGGTGGTACCGGGCTTGAACCTATGATCCAGTTGTTGAAAGTCAACTCTCTAAACCAGTAAACCATAGCTCATATGAAGATTTTGCGTCATCTGATTACGAGGAATAATTGAAATCTCTACGTTTTGATTATTCTACATTAAGATTGACAACGCAAAGGCATACACATGCACAACGTACGCATGTATTGTGTATTGTACACCAGATTACGTTACATCTGGGGAATATGAACCAATAAAAAGTTATCACAAGTAAAACAATATTAAGAAAGGTTTCTTTCTCACATCTCAATCTGTTGATCGGTTTTCGTATGTCATTGCAAGATATAGATGACTGTCTGCCTCTTAAAAGTGACTGATAAAAAAGTGAATGTAGCCTAACTCATCAACAACATACAGACTCATGAACTAGGCTATAAGCTGCACACTTGCCAAAGCCTCCATAGCTACAGTGAGTTTCGAACTCATGAGGTGCTAGTTAAGAAGTCAACCACTTAGATCGATAATTCACAAGGAATGACAATTATTTCGCCTCTTCTTCATGTAGATTCAAATGACAAAAGTACTTAGCTGCTTCGTTTTGCTACAATCATGCAGAAATTTCACACACAAGACCTAACCCATTCAGATACTTATTGTCGACCTGTAAATCACCACTTTTCTCTGCATCAACCTCTGAAAACATACGTAGAACTCCATCGAATTAAATAAGAATTTGGCTATTTTTTTAATTTGATTGATGACTAGTCAAACACAAAGAAAAAGCTTATTTTGAAACAGTTTTATCGTAAAATTACTAATTTCCTTGCTGAATTAGTCGATCTAAGAAAAAGTAGTTTGTTTAACCGTTCATGATAGTCTTGGTCAAGGCACTTTACACACATACACACAAACATACATAGCCAAGATGGCTGCGAATTTGAAGTAAATTCGAGATCACCTCCTAATCCCAACAAGCAGTCTTGAAAATTCAGGTTGGTATTATTCATGGAGTGAGACCAGTTGGAGGAACACTGGAAACCCGAGAGCAATGGATAGGTACTTCGTCCTAGTATGGGAATCCTCAACAGTGGACACCCATGATTCCACTGGGGATCGAACGCAGGACCTTCAGGTTCTGTGACTAACACATCATTATCTAGCCACTGAGTAGGAACCCAATAGTCCATATTTCCTACTTGAAATTATCAGTCGGGAATAACACAAGCTAAGTGACGAAATCTATTTGTAAAATAATTCTGAAGTTCATCAAGTACTATATCTAATAATTCGGTGAATGAGAAACATGTGACTGTCTTTCCTATTCTTGATTTTTATCTCAACCATTTCCTCTTCTGAAATGAAATGAGAGTACTCTTAGACATATATTAACATTAGCAGAGTTAATATAACTGCATACTGAATACATGTAGCCCTCATAAGTATTAGGATAGAGAGTATTGTAAGCTCAGCTCTAAACAGGCATTAGAGGATCTCATCAAGGCCACAAAATTGGGAGGCAGAGAAACCAAGCTTGCACACGCAAGTGGTAAAATCGGCATAGATTACTATAAGATAAACAATCATTTAGTACCACTGTGGACTTTCCATTGCCAATCAACCCACTTGAGGTAATAAGAAGTTAATGGTAGGTGAAATGGTTAGTACAACCTTGAATGCCTCGCACTGACGCAAACAAGTCCTAAGGCAACTATCCAAACTTAAGACAGCCAAAACATATCCCACAAAATTCTCACATTCACGTTTAGGATACTTCGAAAACCCCATTACTTTCATGTAGCGGGATGATTTTCTCTAAGTATTCTTAGTTTATCAAAATTTGATGTAATCATGATAACCCCCGTAAATCTAGCAGAAAAACGTGTTGCGTCCAGAAGCACAACCACAACAAATTTCAGCAGAAAATGGGCATTCTTGATAGACACTACGCAACTAAGCTCTTCCCGAAGATAGTTGAATATTTTTCTTGATACGATAGCAAATGCTTGAATAAAATCTTTATAGTGTGTAGCACAATTGTCAGGTACACCTTTGAGTTAGAGATAATGCCACTGAATCTCCTGATTGACGGACTGGGATCCAGCCATCAGGTTGAGGATTATGGTTGGTGTCAGGAACTGGAATTTATTTACAAGTAAGATTGGAGGATACTTCATTGACGGTTCGCAGACCACAATTTTAAGTTTCATCGTGTCTTACATCTTACCCGAAACTTGAACAACTGACACTTCATAAAATTATATATATATATATATATATATATATATATATATATATATATATATATATATATATATATATATATACAAGGCTTTTTGACGAGCTCAGTTCCGATTTGTTAGTGGAAGTCTGCTGACCGAGTAATACTGTTTGACCAAGAAGCTAAACAACAAAAGTGTGGTGCACTTTATTTGTCATCAGATGGTTGGAGTCAATCATTAAGAAGCCCTGAACTTAGGCAGCATCTCCGACTTGGATGCTAAATAGCCAGTGTGGTTTTCTTATAACTCATTTTGGAAATCGAATACAAGGATATTAACTATATTTTAGTGTTACACCGTACGGAATAATGTGGTTCAGCGACATAGGAGTAAAACGTTGGCACTGTGACAGATTGTAGTTCCACTTTAGTCTGTTTAGTAAAACAAACAATGTCAGTGAAGAAATATTTCTTTTCAATTAGTTCCTCATCAATGGCTCTACACTAATATAGCATTTTCAAAACGTAAAATTACATACCAATCTAGTGGTAAGAGTTGTTTAATGAAAGGTTATCAATCTCAAAGTATCAAGCAGGTGATAACTGATCAGGTAATTAAGACAATTAACTAAAGCATAGGTTAATTATAGCGGAAAGATTTTGTGAAATTTTAAACAGGTTCTTACATAATTGATATTTTGTATAATGGTAACTAAAGAGCGAAAATGAACGGTTACGTAAAGTGGTAAATTGTTGACGGTAATTAGAGACAGTAGGGGGAGAAGATGGCTAAGTCTGTAATAATAGTAACAATAATACTTATTATAATATTAGTTATAATCAGTCGTGTGGTGAATGAAATGAAGAATCTTGTTGTATATACGAGCTATACAGATGGCCAAGGCAAAGAAAGAGACTGTACGAATCTCTTCTGAACACACAGACCTGGCTTGTTCAGGTGAATTCCCTATGGCGTCTGTTTGTTGGAAATGTCACACAGTGAAGCAACAGTATCATTTACTGGATAAGGTTTCGGACATAATTTACTGTCTATATTCATACCAGGTAACCCCATAACTTTGAGACATAATTTATATAGTCCTAATTTTCTCTATTTCTTTGTGACACGGGTAATAGACTTTTCCATATATCTGGGTGCAAAATCATTTTTATTACTGTATGTATTTGGTGTTGATTCGATAAACAAAGATTCGGTTATTAAACATTTAGTCCTACTCCAAAGATATGGTTCCGATATGTTGATGATACGTTTACATTACTGAAATCGCAACACATCAATAGGTTCTTGGCATATATAAATTCAGTAATGAATCCAATCCAATTCACCAGTGACTTAGAAAGTGATGAAGGTGAGCTAGCATAGTTGGATTTCAAGATTAAACGAAAAGATGAAAGTTTAGAGATTAATGTCTATAAGAAACCTTGCCATTTGAATCACTACTTGAACTTCAAATCATCTCACCTCATCTGAATTACAGTAGGCTTAGTGAAATGCCCATGTGATAAGGCAGAAAAGTTTACTAGTAAGGCAGAAAAGCTACGACAAAAAACTAGACACATCAAGAATACCTTGCATCTCCATAATTACCCACCTAAATTTATAAATAGATTCATAAGAAATGGAAAAAAAACATGGGCAACATTAGCGTACTACTAATAGTAATAATGGTGACAGGATTGAGAGAGAATTCAAAGCACCTCAGAAGCATTACGAAGAATTCTCGATAAGGCTGGCTAAGACCAAGTGACATTTAATCGAACAAACTCGCTTAGAAAGAAGCTTCGTAAGCTAGAAGATCCTATTGATGTAATCAGGCGAAATAATTTGGTTTACCAAATCCCTTGCAATGGTTGCGAGATCAAATACATAGGTTACAGTAGTCGACTAGTCATAGTCATAGAGCACAAAAACTTAGATAAATCAAGATTAGTGGATCCTCATAAGATAAGCTTGGCTATAGATACACACGCAATTTACACACAATCATACAATACAGCGATAGTATTAGGAACCAACTTAGTTGGGTGGAGAAAAGGAGAGACTGATAACCGAATCTTTGTTTATCGAATCAACACCAAATACATACAGTAATAAAAATGATTTTGCACCCAGATATATGGAAAAGTCTATTACCCGTGTCACAAAGAAATAGAGAAAATTAGGACTATATAAATTATGTCTCAAAGTTATGGGGTTACCTGGTATGAATATAGACAGTAAATTATGTCCGAAACCTTATCCAGTAAATGATACTGTTGCTTCACTGTGTGACATTTCTAACAAACAGACTAAAGTGGTTGAGCGGTACCTTATTTATAATGAGCCTGCCAAAAAATCTCAACTAGGATTCTTCTTCCAGAAGAATTTCCGTCATCTCGTCGTTTAAGAGAGAATATTTTTCTTTCCTTAGCACGAAATAAGTAATTTACAAAAGGATATTAGGTAGATATTACGAGAAAACAGTTTTTTGTGGAGATTTTAGACACTGCCTAGTTAAATTTTCCATGCATCTCAGTTTTAGGATCCGTCAATCAGTGGATCACAAAGGATTTTTTGTTTCTGGTGAAGGAATTAAACAAACTATTCACATCACCTTTTACTTCCCAGAACAAATACTTCTTCTGATTTCTAGCTTATCATATAAAGCAAAACCTCTAAGGATATATCTTAGACCTAGAATGGATGAGAGAACGAGAATGAATTTCTTTTCATAAAAAAAAGTCAGTTCCAGCTGACTCGATGATTCCAAATTTATCATCTGACAGTGAAAATGACAACAAAATATCCTTGCAATCTCATCTTTCAGTGTGTGTGTGTGTGTGTGCTATGTAAATAGGTATGTAGATATTTATGGAAACCGCTTAGATTATAAATCGGTGTACTCTTTATGAAAACTAAATACTTGTTCCGTGTTTAAAAATTATGGCAGCAGATTAGTAAATATATATTACAGTAAACTTTATATCTATATAGAATATAAAAATTGTCATTCATTGACGACGACAAATAAGATGAGATGAGATTATTTACAGTACAATACGAATTATTTGAGGACACATGGGTTAATATATATATACATATTCAAAGGCGGAATGTGAAACGGAACGGAAGTAGTGGTTCATTCAACATATTATAAGTAATTAAAATACTTGGAAACAATAATCATAATAAAAATTAGCAATATGATCTGGTAAGAGGATAAGCATGTACACATGCACACATGTATGTTCTTATAAACAGCCTTAAAATAATGAAATGACCTGATGGTTGGTCAGTAAGTAGATTGACCTAAAGCAGTGATAGAATCCAATTATGGATAAATATTTACACAGAATAACTATTAGTTCTACTAATAATTTATTCCTGATATAACGTTATATCTATCTTTTTTTCGATTTGCATAGAAGAAATGATCCATTTCTGATAGCATGTGTGCTTGTTTTTCTTCTACAGACACATTATAAATACTACCGTCAGCTTCATTGAGACAGGGAGTACTTGCTGAATCTACGCTCTCGGTAGAAAGCGTATAAAAAGGTTGTTTAATCACCTTCCTTTTTGTTGTTGAATGATTTTCCGGTGGAACTGTACAAGCAACCCATCCCGATGTTCTAACTGACATGGCAACCGAATGTTATCCAAGTAGCAATCTCATTCACCAGATACTAACTGACTGAATTAGCTTACTACAGACTGAGGAACAACAATACAGATTACTCTCCTCAACTTGAAGTAAATTAACGTAATCTACATAAAGTTATGGTACATTATTAAAGATGTCAAGTAAATTGCCTTTTAGAAAGAAAGAAGTTTGTGTTTACTTTTTTTAAAATGCTCTATGTGCATACTCAATATTCTTTGATTGAAAATGAAATCCAACTATGTCAGTTCGAATACTCGGTTGAATTCCAAGCGTTCAGTCAATCGGGGTTTTTGAGGTAAACAGAAAGCCTAACAGCACAACCTAGGCCTACAGCGGTAGCCATTTTAACAATAAGCAATATAATAGTTACCTTAAGAGGTTACATAAACCTTAATAGGCTAGTTGTTGATGAAATCTCATTATGGATACGAAGGATTAGTTTGGAATTCGTAAACTTGCACCATCTCTACCAGCAGAGACATAGTTGCATCAGTGTTCTTTTCCCTGGTTTCTGACTGATTGATACATGGCCTTTAAAGGTAAATGACATGAGGAGGCCACAGTTTTTCGATAATATGTGTCTTTGAAGCATTACTTCTACGGTGGTGGAGCCAACTAGTAGGCTTTCGTTTAAGTCAGACAAGAGAAGCAAGTCAGTTGATCAGAAGGTCCCAATCTAAACCAAGTGCAATAGCCACGATATGATTCATACATCCCGATTCATCGTCTTGGGTGATATGAATCAAAACCGATCAAAGTAGTGGAAATACATTTACCTTCTATTATATTAGAAATTCTGAACATTTTAATAATCATCAACTCCTTTTGCGTAATTTAATACCGTTTCTATTTATGCTCAATTCCCTTTATTGTACACTCGGGAAGTATGGTAACTTGAACCAACACAACTCTGCCCCAAGTTCTACGTTGGTCTGTTGGGATATTCATATTCTTATCAAGGATGGAGTACATTTGCAGAAGTGTATACAACTCTATCGTTAACTTACTGAACAAACCTATTTCCCATCATTCTTGTCAATCAGTCAATGCCAATATAACTGAGTAACAATTCAACTTGGTACATCTCACATCCATAATCAAGACACAAAACAACAAGAGAAAAGACAAAAAGTGTAATTTTTATAATCAAGTGTTATAGGAAACGATAAAACCAAAAAAAGATGGGTTGTGTCGAAAAACTGTGATGTAATGGTTAGGACAGAGATGAGGATTAAACTTATCCACGCTACTAAGATCAACTCTGAATCTTATCATATATAGTCTCCAACCATAGGCTTTAGTTCTCTCATACGCTACAGTTACAGTAACGGTCACCGACTTCATGAACCGATGTCATGTTGTACTCCGGCTACCCTCAGCTTTTCCAAACCTAGCCATATTTTAGGTAACAGTTTCTTGGTGTAAACCGTAACTAAGCATGCGTAACGAATGTACCACCAAGGCTAAATGTCAAATAAGCTTCCAGTGAGCAAACCAAAGTTGAACGTACTACTAGATCCAGATCCAGAGAGATATCCTTCTTTCGACAGTTATTCTTGAAAGTCCATACACAGTAATCCTATCAAGTTCATGTAAGCAATTCATGTTTGAAGTATATGTTCTTCCCGTGTAAAAGATAGTGATGAATTCAGAAATGTCCCCATAAACAATATAATACCTAATGCAACTGTTGATTGGCATAGTTCGCCGCACACATACACACTGAGGACATTTAATCAGATTTTAAGCATTTGTCAATTTGGGTTCTGTAATAAATGTTAACATGCACACATATTTATGATAAACTGATTCTCTCCATAAGGCATACATTTTTATGAATATAATTTAGGTTCTCACTGGCAGAAACTTCCTAAAATCTTAAACAGGTGGTCTACACTAAGAATCCTTGAGCGAAAACACATTTTACAAGATGATACCGTAAATCGTTTTGACTATCAGTGATAGCCGTAGTTTGACAGACTGGGTGATAATTGAAAGTGAAGAGAAAATTTCGACAGTGGCCGGATTCCAACCAGCGACCACCGCGTTTCCGGCCCAATGCTCTGTCAACTGAGCTACGAGGTCCGATTGCTGACCTAGTGGTCGCTGGTTCGAATCCGGCCGCGGTCAGAATTTTTATTTCACCTTCAATCATCATCTATCATCTATATTATAAATGATAATTTTTAATTTATCATGAGACAGGATTTTGATATGCATAACTTCATGTAACAAATAACACACCATTCTACATGGTTTATCTACGTTTAAAATCTAAACTTCGTACAACAAACCAAAACCATCATCTTTTTAGAAAAAACACTGAGTTTTCAACTCTTGTACGGCTTATTTGTGAAACATATATTTGCATGTATGTAACTCACTTTGAATGAACTTGCCGAAATTATTCGTATATCTGCAGGAACACGGTCACCACACTTTACATCGATTAAATCACCAACGACTAAGGCTTCAGCAGGTGCATCGATTTTCACTCCTCCTCGAATAACAAGTGCAGTCTAAAACAAACATGATATTGCATCAGATTTTCAGATTATTTAAAGTAGAAACAAACATGTAAAAGAGTCTCTTACTTTACGCCTGCTCAGTAAGTTTCTATGGTCTAATTCAAGCGAACCTAAACATTAAAGATAATCAGTACTACAGATATTTAGTGTTTTAAAGTACCACCTGTTACTTTAAGAATCGTGTTAACTTTTATTGATGACCACATTGATCACCTTCTAAAACCTAGCAATAGATATAGCTGTAGTTTTAAGGTTCATAAATGTAAGGTTTTATGCATGTCTTAGTTGTTTTCCTTCTAAAATAGTTTACATTAGCATACAGTAGATTAAAGACTTAATAGGATGATCGTACTGCACCCAGAGAAGTTTCGGTCCCTCATTGGCACATAACAAGGTTGGTAATGCTGTTTAAACACATCTCTAAACTTAAAAAAACATTTCAAATTAACCACATAAAATAATAAGCTTCCTTTACCACTCTATTGTTGACAGCATGAAAACTAGACCATCTGAAGAAGCCTCGAAAGTATTCAAGTTCACCTGATCAGACAAAAACAGACTGACACGTGCCTACGGAAGAACAATTATACATAAAGTATCCATAGAGACTTTAGTGATAACCAAAGTTTACTACACAAGTTTGCAATAAAGGTAGGTGATACGAAACTTAGGTATCTTGTGCTTGATACCAGACGACAGGTATCAAGCAGCAGGCTGTTCTGGGTTAAGATTATGTGACGGCCACTACACGCTGAATTATTAGTTGCATGTGATTCAGTTCTGCATGCAGTCAGTTAAAGCCTTAATAGAGTGGTCAATTCTCTTACTTCAGCGTTCAGTAACCCAGGCTCAAGTTTCAAAGGGAATATGCCGAGCAAATAACTTGCTGAAATGAGTTGGCAATAATGAAAACTAGTTCTAGGATATCTTCTCGATTGAATTCTAACTTCTAACATGAACAGATTTGCTGACTCAGTCTCTGTTTACTACCATACATCAGGACGAAAATTGATTCATTGGTCATCCATCAGATAAATACTACTTTATTTGAATAAGCTATTTTGCCTAGCTGGTAGGAAAATTCACGGAAATTTATAATACTGACGGATATGCAACACCAAGATTCTCAACAAAACACAAAATACGCAGTAGCGAACCACCATTAAATTTAAAAGTGATGTCAATGAATGGTTTTCGTTTCCAGCGATCTCCTCAGTCACAGAAGCCACCTCACAGATATTCTTGCGTACAGAAAGCTAATATAAGCCGTCTCAATATACGCAAAAAACCACATTCGTTACGATACGTAGAGCCACTGAAAACTCTGGATAGTCTTCACGTTCAATCTCGCGGTATCAGTCATGTTTTCGCCTTTAAGGGCTTCGATACTAAAACAGGATCAGTCAAAAAAACATCTCGTTGAACTCGACAACTACAGAAGTACACAATAACGTTAGTTACTAAGTCAGTTATATTCATCACTGAGTAACGTTTCAGTTAATCCACCTTCCTAAAGATTAGCCAACACTAACACACAAACCTTTAATTCACTCACCTGTGGAATCATCTTCTTAAAAGACTCCATTATACGTGATGACTTGGATTCTTGGTAGTATGAAAAGCAGCCGGTGACCACAACGACAACTGATAAGACAATGCCAAGATAAAGCTATAAAAATCAAAAGGCGTCATTTGTTTCAGTACGGTAGGGTGAAAAAGAATAAAGATACAGGTTGGATTACTTTACTGCACATACTGCTATTCAAACAGTTAGCAGTTAAAAACGTAAAGAAAACTGTGAAGTTACGGCTTATTACTGTGGAAAATTGGGTTCGAACTACCGGTTTTTAAGCTAAAAGACCGCTCAGCCTACAGCAAGTTTAGTAATGCACTGGTATCATGAACCTTCACATGATAGATACGTCTTTAGGCTTAGTAATGAAGCTAATATGAAATCTAAGCTACTGTTGGCATGACATAATACGCGTAGAAGCATAGATACAAAAAATAACAAATCCACTATCCGAGTATTGAACAATACACTCCCTACCTTGTATCAGCTAACCTACAGTATATATGTAGACATTAAATCAGTCATACCTGACCACAGAGTAGCAATGCAATCAGTTGCCTATCTATAGATGCAACAACTTTGATTTATAGTAAACAGAACTACTTAAATGTTACGATGAAAAACCTTTAGTTGTGATACTGACAACTATAAAGACGTTCAACTGATACCTAGCTTGCAAAAATATCTGGCTGAATTGATGTCTAACTCAGCTCATCAATATAATCATATTTTCATTAACCAGAAGTAATCGATCAAGGAATAAAACAGCCAAGTCGATCAGTATTGGTGCTTTCTATGCAGTATCATTTACAATAAATTTCTGAGTGATAATCATAATATTCTAATTCACTACATTCCAATAAAATCTAAAAAACCCAGAACATTTGAGATTTTAGAATACACTTCGTGAAAAGCCTTAAATTTTCGTCCGCACAAACTCCACGTTAGGAATATTTGGAAAGTGTATTTTACAGATCACTACTATTCTCACCTCAAACAGTTTATCCAGAGACATTACTCTAAACAAAATTATTATTTGTTGGCTTGATATTCAACCTGAGCTATCCATTTCACGTTGAGTTTAGCGACTATTTTCAAACTTATAGTGCAAACTTACAATGCTCAACCATTTAAAGCCGTATTTCGAGAAAGCAAATTTTTAACAAACACCCTGTATCTAAATAAAGCTTCGATTTCTGACGACCTACTATTCAATTGCACTGAAAAATAGTCTTGCCAACATGGCTTTCAACTTTTACAGATCCGTACCTATTTGACGGGATCACACACCTCGCATGACACTATTGTGGGAAAATAGAAATGGCTATCGGTTATAAGATTTATACAACAAAGAATAGATATTGATGAGGAACATATATATGTGGCAATGTATATGTAGGAATGAACATGGTGTCCATGAGCCTATTCAGCACTACTCGTTTCACCAGGTTAAAAAAATGCTTGTAGCGACTGGACTAAATCTAGGCGATCAGTTAAAAAGTTGCTGACTGCGTATTCGAGTCGCGTCAACAAGTAAAGATTACATGATTGAGGTTGTCAGAACCTAGTACAATATATCTTGAAACCGATTACAATGCTATATATGCACTAACTCTGCCTTCTGTAAGTTACTGAATATTTTACAACTCCATACGCCTTTCTTCGTAGTTCCATCTCATCCAACTCATCCGTTAGTTGACTTTTAAATATTTATCCTTTTATTGTTTTTACTTCCCTACAGTATGGCAACTCGTAATCCCGAAGTCAGTTCCAACGCGGGACCAAGCAACTGGTACTGATGTATTTTTGAGAGGTCTTACGTTATCTGTTTGAATCAGAATAGTTCCAAGATAGAATCCAGTAAAAATAAATCAATTGCTTCAAAGTCTGATGTCGTTTGTGAAATAGATTTCCAGATTTTCTCACAACTCGTTGCAAGAACACAACACAATTATTCACTGAGACTTAAAATGATTTTGGCCACATGCACTTGCAATAAAATAAGTGAGGTGCATGAACTGGTGACTGTTACTCAACACATTAAATATCATGCAAAAACAACCAATCACGATTGTGAGTGAGTTTTCATTGTTTTAAAAGAGACCACCCGAAGTAAAACAAGTTACCATTCACTAATAACAGCCTATAAAGACAGTTAGGATAGGTGATGATCAACAATAAAATCAAATATGTACATTCCATTTTATTTCAAAGCCATTAATAAAAAGTCAGAAATCAATCATATAACCCATAAAACAAATAACTATAACTCATACATCTACAGAATACCACATGAAATGTAAGTATATCTGACTGAGGAGTAGTAAGGACGACGAAACATGTAATCTAAGTTCAACTATTTAGTACCACCACACGACTTAAGTGAGCTAAAAATGAAATTTAGATCACAACAGGACAGTCTCATCAAGACTTGGGTATCCGAAAGACGAAGAACCCGTTTATGATATGAAAAGACATTATCTCAACACGTGAACTGGTCGCACTACAAATGGTTATATTTCACTGGAGGAAAACTAGAATATCGACCAGCATGTCACAGTTCACCCTTATATAGTAAATATCCACCGTCTGTAGGTAGAATGAATATTCACTTTCTCGCTTAGCATTGTAAGAAGCATTCCAGTCACACTAAGTGAGCTATTAAAGAGCAGAAACTGACATAACTTTCGAAATTGGATAGAATGATGTAATTTCGATGAGAAACGTTCATAGTTTCTACGCAAAGTAATTAAAAATCTGACTTCTCGTTTCCGTATTATATTAGCCTACTCGATATGCATACGCTGGAGTACCATTATACAATGGATGGTTTTCAGAGCATAATTTATCGCTCAGGACTATGTCAAACTAATTTCAAACCTATAAAATGTTCCTTTTATAGTCCAATAGCTTCTTATCCCATTACATGTGTAATTGATGGTGAATCATTCCTACCGTGTGCACTGCGGCTTGACAAGATAAACAGAGATTCGGCAACTAACCTTTTCCTTCCCCCAGCCCTTCTGAATTTTAGGATTGTCATGGATCATGGATTGCTCCACCCAAGCAATAACAAGGTTTCCCGACAAACTACTTATGCATGCGAGGTTTCAAAATATTTCGTTAAATTTGTATCCCCCGATATCTTGACTAATTCCGGTCGGTTGCTTTAACTCATATACCCAAAGCAACAATAATTTTGTGGTACCTTATACAAAAGATCACTTCGGTTAATTGAGTCTGTAATATTCTTAAGACTACAGTTTCTTTCGATGCCTAAGTTAAATAATAAGATTGTTAAAAGTTAAGAGTGGGATTTCCGATGCTTCTTCTTCATATGGCAATGACAAAAAGGCTTAGAGTTTTTCCTCAGTCGTGTTGTAATTAAGAGAATCGCATCAGTGTGTGCCACTTCAAATAAGTTAGTCTAGTATGTAATTAGGCCTTATCACAGTGCCTGAGGTCTAATCTTTCTTATTTGTAGACTGAATTCACAAGGGTACTCTAAGATGAATTACTCAAGGGAAGTTGGTGAATTGGAAGGCCAGTAAATATATATAGCTTCTTAGGAAACAAAATATGGTACGAAACTAAATGCTTTTACGATGCCTAATCTTTAAGACCAGGAATCAAGGAAACACGTGCGTACGTAGGTTAAAACTCATGAATTAACTTAAAAGTAAAAAAATTCTCATAATCATTGTATGGATAGCAGCATATATGCATATGAAAAGATTTGTCGAAACATACCACAGAACAATCTATCCTTGTGGTAAATGCCTAACCAATTTCATCTGACAGGTTGTCTTTATAAACAAGATATGATCGAAGTAGACCGCTACTTTATGAAACCGTCACTTACATTATCCTTTGGGGGGTCTTCATGAGTTCCACTCTCGATTGAGAAGGCGATAAAGCAAAGAACAGCACCAATCCACAACAACAGCGAAAAACCACCAAACAAGGTTTTACAGAACTTCACCCACTCCGGTGTTGTTTTTGTAGGTGTCAGTGCATTGGGCCCATCACGTTCTAACCGAGTTCTGACAGGAAATTTATCGAATATCTCTGGAGACTCACTTGGCCTGTTCAGCTGTCAAGCCATTTACTGGATCAGTGGAGAGCCGGGAGTATAGCTCATCGAGTGATACCCGATGTTCGTCCATGTCCAGCTCCTGCTTGAGTTCGTTCAAGTCATCTTTCTTTAACGATTTCTTAGATTTCTTCTGAGTTGCCATTCGGTAACTATCGCCTCGCTGCAGAAGTCAATGGCCAGCAAAATGTAGTTAATATTTAAGACAAAAAAAAGATACGAGACTCAGATCCATTTAATTAAGTTAGTAACTTAAGTGAGGACTTACGGCATTCGGAACACCCATCTTTGATCAAGGAACTAACGGAAATCCACTATTTGACTGTATGTTAGGGTGAATAAGTAAATGTAAATGTAACAAGTAGTTAACTTAAACAAACTTTCTGTTAGGTTCACTTATAACTCGTACACCACCTTCTCCCACCGAACATAATAACATCTTTTATTTGTCCTCACTGTTTTTTAAAGATGATTCGTGACAACTTTATCTGATATCCAATAGCGATAGTGCGAGCGTAGAAAACATAGTTTTTGATCTCTTGCGTCTGGTTCTTAGGGCTTGGTTAGAGTTGTTCGGCTCACTACTGTGGTGGGGAAGGAAATCCCCTCTGCTTTCTTGATTCCATCTTCGGTGAGGTGGATGTTTTGTCGTTTAGAAAGTTGTAATTTGTACAGTGACTGGGGAGCTACTGGTTGCTTGGACATTGAGGGGACTGTCGTGACTCCTATCTGTGTAGGTACCTGAAACAGAATAGAAGCAATAATAGTAATATATTTCATATAACATAGGTTACATGAATACAAACCAGTTTACAGGTTTTATCATCTTGGTAACGAGAAATGACTGTTATGTACAATGCTAAGCTACACATTAGATAAAGTTATTCATGGCACACAAGAGGTGCGTCTAGAGAAGGAACGTTAATGCTTTGTAGACAGCAAAGAATAAAACAGATAAACACCAACATAACTGATCAGCACACTGAAGCAAGCTCAGTTCGAAATCAGGAATTATTCGGCTATTGTCTGAATCTTCCAACATTCTTGAAGGTACGGCAGGTAGTACATTCGTGACCTTAGGTTGTGTTCGTTCGTCACAAAATTTTTATGACATGGTACACACTGACGAACGAGATTGCCGGGTTTCTATATGGATGAAGGACTGGCTAATTCGACCTGAAAAATGAATAACAAAAGCGGGCGAGTGGCGAACTTCGAAACAGGAGCGCCGAAGTAGTACGCAGGAGTAGATAAACTGTGATACATCTGGGTGAGTTCTTTGCACTGACTACAAAAGATACTTGAAGACGTGTCCGTATCCAAAATTTTAGGGGTGGGCTTATGGGGAAGAAGATGAAGGCGCATCCGAAAGTAGTGGAAACTAAACTGAGGCAGAAGATATCACTGTGGAATAGAAAGATTAGAGGATTTTGGACCAGGTATTCGCTTATGTGTAGAAAACTTATGTATGAAAGTTTAATGAAATTATAAACATTTAAGTTAAACTCATGGTTTTTGCTAGGATGGTAACCACGCTCTATATACTTATGGGGGAGGGATGATGATGGTGTTGCTTGTTCAGTGTTGCCACGTCAAGGCCATAGAGACAATATGGTGGTTTGGAGTACTTTAATGTAAGCACTGACAACGAAGGGCAAACAATAAAACACGTAACATGCTAAAAAATTCACCGACAAACAGTCCATTTATCAGTCAAGGGTAACGAGATTACTTCGAGGGAAGAATCTTAAGAAATAGGTGTTAAGTCGGGAGATCAGTTAGGTTAAGGAGAAATAGAGGTTACACCAGAGTAGCTACAGAGTCCACTGTTGCAAATCGTATCACACTCCACTTCCTGTCCACTCTAGGTCAGTTTCTTTAAACTAGATCTTATCTTGAGCTATGCGTTTAGTTTTTGGTATTGCATACTTTCGTCATTGCTGAGTTTAGATACCGGTAGTACCATTGTACATGGCATTATCGTTTGTGATTTGGCCGTCAACGAATTGGTGGGGACCATTAGATGGGAAGAATTAACTAAGTAATCGTTGAAACTGGCTGATGGTAAACTGGCTAGTGGTAAAGAGTGAAAACAGGAAGAAGAAAAAGGAGAAAAAAGGAAGAGAGAAAGAAAACGAAAAAGGGGGTAGTGAAGGGAAATAAGGGAGAGAGAAAATGTGTAGGAGTTGCCCGGGAGGTAAAAATAGATAGCGTGGGTCTGTGTCATGGAGATGAATTGATAGGTAATATGGATGTATTAAGGAGCGAGATAGTGAGTGGTAGGTGAGGGAGGTGGGGGTGGGCTAGTGGGGTTGGTGACTCCTTGAACACGTCCACAGTAGACCGTCCAAGGTGAAATAACCGTCTAACGGTCTCTTGAATGAGTCGACGGGGGGGGGCTCTAACGATACGTCGTGGTAGGGCATTCCAGAAATCATACATTCCCAGGGTGAAAATTAGACCTGAGTATGGTGTTGGCTCTTTGATATGCTACCTTAATGAGGTTTCCTCGTGAAGACCGCTGTGTTGCAGGCAAAACTGATTTGCATGGTCTGACTGATGGGTGATCCTGTAGGCAATAACAAGGTCACCCCTCTTCATGCGATAACCCAAGGTAAATAGGTTTAGGTGTTTAAGTCTTTCAGGATGTCTTTCCCCTTGGTCCCGCAACTTATTTTGTTGTGGTTTTTTGTATTTTTCCAAGGAGATTAACTTCTCTCTTGAGTGTTGGTGTGAGGGGCACCGTACTGAAGACCTCTAGATGCGGCTGCACATAGGATTTAAAAATGGTGAGGAAGAGTTCAGGGGTGAGGGCGCCAGTCTGTCTACACCGAAAGTGTAGAGTGGCGTTCGCTGTGGTTGCCATATCTTTGCAGTCGGAGCTGGCGTTTAAGGTGTCGGGGAAGTTGAGCTCCAAATCTTTCTACGTGGACGCTCTGGTGATAGCACAGTTGCTCAACATTTACTGGAAGTTGGTCTTACTTGCTTCGTATTTACTGATGTACGTTTCTCTGTACTTTGCCAGGTTGAAGCTCAAGTCATCTTCCGACGACCAGAGTTCGAGTTGCTGCAAGTCCTTTTGTAGTGGTGCATAGTCAGCTTCTTCGTTTACCACCCTCCATGTTTTAGTGTCACCAGCGAAGAGGAAGATGGGTGAGGATATTTTTTCTGGCAGATGGTTGACAAACAGGAGGAGCAGAAGTGGTCCTAGGATTGCTCCCTGGGATACTCCTGACGATGAAGGTCTCCACTCCAACCTTGTTCTGTTTACTTTTGTTCAGAACTGCCTCCCTTCTAGGTACTCCTTGAACCAAGAAAGCAGAGGTTCACTTATTATAATAATAATAATAATTAATATTCCTGAGCATACAGGGACACACCATTTTTACAGGTATGAACAAGTTTTGCATAAATTACATGTCTTCGTGGAAGGCAATCTCAATCCCCACCCATTGCCATTAGAAGATATAAGTGCTGCATATTCATATAATGAAACATCCCAGCAGAATGAGTATGCGGAAAATTTACAAGTTGAACAGGAGAACAAGTTACACCAGCCGACACGATCTTGTGAAGCAGGACTGTGGGTGGGATACAATCAAATGCTTTAGCTAGGTCGAGAAAAACAACACGCATCGTTTCTATGTTGGCCCAGCTTAGTGTTCAGTCGTCCCAGGTGGTTAGTAAGCTGGTGGCACATGAGCAACCACTCCGGAAACTGTGCTGAGCAGTATGCACTGTGTTTCCTATTAGGAAATTCTCAGATGATGTCAGCTACCAGGCTTTTTAAAGCTTTCGACACAATAGGGAGTGGAGCAGTTGGCCTGTAGTTGCCAGGGCTTTTTCTGTCTCCTCCCTCGAAGATAGGTGACAAGATGGCGCTCTTCCTCCTTTAGGGAGTTTGCGCGACTCTATCGAGTGCTTGAAGTTGTAGATTAGTTTTACAAGCACCTCGGTGCAGTTTCTCAGGATCACCGGTTGTACGTCATCGCAGCCAGGGGACTGGATGCAGCCTAGATAATTCCTCTGACACTTTTCTCTGTGATTGCGATGTGGCAGAGGCATTCGTTATTCATGACGAGGTCGGTATCGCAACCAGTCAGTGTGGATTTGGTGGCTTGGAAATGTGAACTGAAAAGCTCGGCAACCCCCAGACTGTTTGATGTACTCCTATCATGACCTGTGATAAGACTGCTGGCTGACTTCCTTCTCAACATGCTGCGGTACTGCTTTTTGGGATTGCCTTGTAACCTCTCCGCCAGGTTTGTTTGATGGGAGAATCTGTCGCTACACCCTCTAATGTTACGGCGGTTGCGCATCCTTTTGTGGTTCAAGAAGTCAGACTCCCTGCATGATGTAAGCCACTTGAACCAAGCCTGCTTCTTGCTCTGGATAAGCCTCTCTGTCCCACGCTTTAGTCACGAGGTTCTCACTGGTAGTCTGTGTGCTACCTCTGGTACACTGTGAATGATGGCCCCAGTGACTATTCTCTTCACCTCCAACCGGTGTTCATCCACTGTGAGATGAGTCCAGTCTACCGGCCATGATGCATTCATGAGGTAGTCCCTCGTGAGCTCATAGTTGGCCTTGCTGTAGCAAGGGAGGGTGTTGGGCGTCTCCAGTTGCAGAGCCTCCCTAGTTATCATGAAGAAGGTGATTACAGCGTGGTCACTGAGGCCAAGGGGAGGTTGGATGCAAACATCCTCAATGAGAAGTTCATCGTTCGTCAGAACGTGGTCAAGGCGCGATGCGTTTCCGTTAGGTCCCCAGCACGTGGCATCGCCCACTTTCTCTGAGAGGCCAGCAGCCTTAATTGCATCCTTCAGCTTCTGATTGAAGGATCTGATGCGTCTCCCTTCTGTCTCGAAGTGGATGGACAGGGTGTTGAAGTCGCCGGCAATGAACATGGAACCATAATCTGCAGAGGAAGTCGTTAAGGTTGCCTCGATGACCAGTCACTTATATGTGGAGCAGCTGGTGCGGGATCGATGCATGACTCCGAGCAGGTATGTGGTACAGTGGAGAGTGAGGTAGCACCACAGAGATTCCGGGAGCTGGGTTAAGGCGGTATCGCTAACCACCCTCGCCTTTAAGCGGTAGCTTAAGCAGAGAGCCACTCCCCTTTCTGCTCTGAGCTCTCTGACCCTGTGGAAGAGTCCCATGCCAGTGACATGCATCTCTTCATCTGAGACGTCCGGCGACAGACAGGATTCGGTGACAAATATGATGTCAGAGTGCTGGCGTTCATTCACAGTCCTCGTCTCCTCTACTTTCCGTCTTAGCCCCATAAGGTTGTTGCACATACATGCTAGTGTGCCTGGTGAGAGGGGAGGGCTGGTTGTGTACTCTCGCGAGAACGGAGCTTACGTGGCCGGGTCTAGCGCCACCAGTCCTCATAGGGCTGGTGTCGTTCCGTTTTATGGGTTTTATTTTCGACATGGGTG